ATAGTGTGTAGGTGCAGGGGGTGTATATAGGGTGTATAGTGTGTAGGTGCAGTGTGTATATAGGGTGCAGTGTGTAGGTGCAGTGTGTATATAGGTTGTAGTGTGTATGTACAGGGGACATAGTGTGTAGGTGCAGGGAGTGTATATAGGGTGTATATAGGATGTAGTGTGTATGTACAGGGGACATAGTGTGTAGGTGCAGGGAGTGTATATAGGGTGTATATAGGGTGTAGTGTGTAGGTGCAGTGTGTTTATAGGGTGTAGTGTGTATATACAGGGGACATAGTGTGTAGGTGCAGGGAGTGTATATAGGGTGTATATAGGGTGTAGTGTGTAGGTTCAGTGTGTATATAGTGTGTAGTGTGTACGTATAGGGGACATAGTGTGTAGGTGCAGGGGGTGTATATAAGGTGTATAGTGTGTGTAGTGTGTAGGTGCAGTGTGTATATAGGGTGTAGTGTGTAGGTGCAGTGTGTATATAGGGTGTATGTGGTGAGGTATAGTTTATAGTATATAAGGGCTGGATAGGGTTAAATAATACATTTTGATTGTTTCATTATTTAAATTAAAATAAAATAGCCCTACACATTTCTCCCCTTTCCCCTTGTTACCTTATTACCTTTGCAGGTGGGGAGAGGGAGCACGCTGCTGATCATTCCTGGTGATCCAGTGGGCTAGTGATGTGGTCTGTACCTCCCCAGGGTACAGACCATGCCTTCCTCTCGCGAGAGCTGGAGTTTCATAGCGTTGCCGTGGGTTACCATGGCAACGCTCTAAAATTATCGGAGATCGCGAGAGGGCTGCCCTGCGTTCAGCCTAGAGGCTGTTTGCTCCGTAACCAAACGGAACGGAGCACTTCAGAGCCTCTCTCTGGGCCAATCTGGTAAGCTTGAGCCGGCAGGGGAGATTTTACACAACACTCCCATGTGCGGCGCGCGGGGATTAGGGCCTCGGTCCCTGTGCGCACGCCTATGATGGCCATAACAATCAAGTAATGAAGGTAAAGGCCCTGGGGAGATAGCACAGCTAAGCAGACAAGGGCACATGTAGGAGTGTGGGGATAGATGCATGGGATTGGATGGGAAAGAGTGTGTGGGTGGGATTATGTTCTGTGTAAGTTAGTGTGGGGGAGGTCTTACCTCAGTGCCACTTGGGATTCGGGCCAGCAAACAGCTTCCCTCCCGCCCGCCCTATTGGTATATTTAGTCACAGCTAGCCGGGGGTATGTCCTTGCCAATTGAGTTTGAGGGGTTACGTTTAAGTATATGGAATGAGATGAACAAGTTTTTAAGGTCTCAACCTCCCCTGCTTCAAAAGGTTAACATTAGGTTGCCTGAGGTGTCGTGCCCATCGAGCGTGGATAAGGTCGGCTGATGGCGGGCATTGGAAAGATATGATTTTATGACGAGGGGGGAGGTGAGAGGAAGTGGTGATTAGGAACCACTGTATGTTTATTGGCAAGGACGGTTGGGTCACTGTATAACACTATGTGTGGAGTTATATATATATATATATATATATATATATATATATATATATATATATATGTTAATTCCCCACTACGTACATACAAGTTTTTTTGCTGCTATTTTATTATTTTCCACTAGGCTAAATACATCATTTGGCCTGTCTTACTAGATGAAACACTGACAGAGTGATAAATAGAGATTAAATGTTTTATCCAGGCATATCACCAAGAGAGAATAGAGGAAGGAATAACAACTATTTTGGAGGCCTTTTAAAGAGCCTATCCATGGGATATCTGTAAGACTTTAAAGGGATACTGTAGACACTTTAATAACTTAATTTTATTGGAAGTTGTTCTAGTGCCTACAGTCCTGCCCCCTGTCCCCCTCCCCCAAAACCCTTTAGTTAACAACTAGAAAGTTTTGAAGTGCTGCTCTAAGCCACGCCTGGCTATGAAAGTTGGGAATCTTACTTCCTGACTCTAATACTGCAACATATTGTGATGTCACGAACATATGCACAATGCCGTCAAGGTCGGCCATAGAGAATCATTGTATGGCAGAATCTGAGGAGCATCACAGTGAGCATGGCGCATGCTCCTAAGGTCCTCCTCTATGATGATGCACCCTAAGGAGAAGGTCATGGGAACGCATAGGTAGACTCGGCACTGGAGAAAAGGTGAATAATTTCTTCTAATTTTAATTATTTGGCTTTTTTTGTATCTTTTACATGGGGAGACGTAATTGATTAGGGGCATCAGGGCTGTAGTGTTAGGAATACAGATATATATCCCTAATGCTACAGTGTTCCTTTAAGCTCTCATTGCAGCTTGTGGCTGTAACTGTTCTCAGACAGAATGTTGAGGAACCCACCCAAGTCATCTGAATTGCAGCTCTGCGAGTACCTCTCAGTATATGCTACAACATATGAAAACTTTATCATTCATTATAGCTTTCTAATGCACTGCAATTTAAAATACATATAGAGGTGGAATATTTGATTTATTACTCTGTACTGTGTAGGTATTTTGTTGTGCATCGATTTAGCAAATTAGGACACAAGATACAATAATAAGGCAGTTACTACTATAAAGAAACTCTACAAAAGGGAAATGAAAAAGTAAAAAATTAATTTCATTTTGCTTCATTCATTTTTTAATTTTGGATTGTCCGAAATTCAGAAAATATTGATTCAGATAACCTAATTTAATCCGAAAATGTAAATTCCCAAAATAGAGTTTATAGAGTCATCTAGTAAAGTGTTGAAAGATCAAATTAAAGAAAGTCCTTTAGATCTTTCAGTTGTTTTATTAGATTTCCTGACTTTACGAGGAGTTTCCATAAATGCCGATTACTAAATAAGAGAGCTATCTGTTAAACAGTGCCATAATTTGGTATCCTTAATTATGGCAATCCCACATAAGGATACCAGGTTAGGGTGCTATGTACTAAACAGATGAAAGATCAAAACTGAGAAAAAAAAACCTTTCTTAATTTCGATTTTGCAGTTGTTTAGTAGATAACTCCCTAGTTAGCTACCCTGATAAATGAATGGTTCCAAAATAATATGTCTTGCATCAATTCTAATTCAATCATTTTTCTTTCAGTTTCCATCAAATCGGAAATTAATTATACATGTCTGTACGTCTTGCAGAGCAAGAGCCTGTATCCACTGATTAAAGAGCTTCTGTTTTATCATGGAAAATAAATCTCCCCCAACAATCAGCTGGGCAAACAGACTGGGGATTTCGTTAGCCTGCTGTTTTGACATGCTCCTGACATGAAATCCAACAAAACAAAATTTGAGTACCCTGGCAGACTGGAGAGTGTTTATTGGAAGTCTGTCTGTCACGGTCAAAATGCCCGCTGCTCTGCCTAAGGGTACTAGCAGAGCAGGAGGCACGGATGGTGGCTGTTGGTTGCCCGGAATAAGATACATCACAATTGAACGTGCTGCCCGCCCTAGTACCTTCTGTTTCTCTTTCTGATCCTTCTGTTTTCTTTGCAAATGAATATTAGCACTTGTGGGAAGACCCTTAACTCTCCCCCTACTAACGTACTTGACATACAAATTACACTTTGCATTGCACACTTCAGGAAGCTGTCAAAGTAATGCCAACATTTTTCTTCTGCGCATTATATTAGCCTCAAGCCTTGCTCTTGTAACTGATGTGGGTAGATTTGCATCTTTGATAGTTGTCGCAACATTATCCTCTTCACTAGCACTTAGTTGACTAATAGGAAGGGAGGTGGTGCTGTTAATAATCTCACTGGACGAGCTACTTCTGCCATGAGTAGGAAATAATGCTCCAACTGTTTTCAGTAACTGAAGCAGTTCTACTGCACATAGAGATAACCTTAGGTAAAGTGGAGAGTACATAGTGGGATAGTGTATAGTAAGTGCAGAATATAGTAGAATACTGCTTCTACTCTCCCGGACTCACATCTTGTAATTTTTCTGTATCTATTCTGTATGTCCTCCTGGGACCGAGTTAAACAAATGTTTGGAGTGGAGAGGGAAAGAGCAATATCATCATCACAACAAAGACCAGATCTTGGGAACACTACTTGGGTACTCTGCTTTACCTCTTCAGCAAAGAGTGACACTGATGGCCCTGACAAAGCCTCTGCTAAGCTCCCCATTAGTTGATTCTTGGAGGTCTATAAGAAATAGGGGGTAACACAGGTAATGGCAACAAGTCCAAAGATTTCACCATTCCCTTGCACCATAAAAGATAAAAGCTGTAGCAATTAAGCTAGCTGTGTTGGAGAGAGCTTCAGTGCCTATGGAAGCAACAGCAGAAATTATTGCAGCATGAAAAGTCGGAGATGCTGCTAATCCCACTATCGTAAGGCTGAATAATACAATTAGTGAGGTGAGGCAGCGGTGTAGGCAATGTCTGCAAACCTCATGCCGAAGGAAGAGATATTCAGACTTTCAGTGGCCAAGACACTACTATTGATGGTTGATTGAGGAATATGACTTCTTCCCCTACCATTTCTCAATATCTTCTTGGTAATAGGAAGGAATCTTGAAGATGATGGATTTGTTTTTCTTATTACAATAAATTTGGAATTATTTGTGTATTGTGTAAACTAACACAACTCTATTCAGCAATTTAAAGTAGGTGCTTTTTTTGCAAAATGGGTTGGTGCTTGGTGGATTTACTACTGAGAGGTTATTGTGTATGACATTAAAGGGACACTGTAGGAACCTAGACCACTTTAGCTCTTTGAAGTAGTCTGGGTGCCAACTCCCATCACCCTTAAACCAGACAGCCATTAGATGGACTTCCAACTTTTTAGACGACTTTTGGACGTTGGCAGGGGAGCAGTGTGGGCAGGGCCTGACTCAGCACTGAGGGACATCAGTGCTAGATTCGGTTAAGTATCTGAAGGGGTTTTAACATGTTCAGCAACGTGAGATGGGGGGCAGGGGAGGGGCACTCCAGGATTCTACAGTGCCAGGAAAACGGGTTTGTTTTTCTGGCAGAATCCCTTTAAGAAACACTTAAGAAAAACATCCGTTAAAAACAATAACATTTTTTTTTATTTTTTAAAGCTCTGTTAAGGCAACCTTCAAAACAACATCCCATGGAAAATAAGGAAAAACAAAATTAAAACAAAAATATAAAATAAAACTTAAGCAATGTGTCAGTCACAGAACTGTGGTGCTTATCTTCATGAATATCTACAAATTTATCTTAAACATTTTTCAGATCTATTACAGTTTCTTGCCTGCTGAATTTCAACAGCAAAATAGGTAGTGGGGTCTGCTAGCTGTTTCTATAAAACACAATAAGAAAGACCATTTTCCTGAGAAGATTTGTTCTTAGAAAAAAAAATACAAATTTAAATCATGTATGGGATGCGTTTGTCGCAATCTGGATAATTTGCAAGAATACCAGCTCAACATTATTATTTAAATTATTAAAAGTACCATTAAGTTAAAAAGTTTACATTCGTTACAAAAAGTTGTTAAATCGTATGTAAATGATTTAACACTGATTAATGCAATAAAAATTGCATTTTTTTTCTCTTTATAAAAATATTGTATATATGGAAGAAAAAGAATTGCTTGCTACCCTGTCTGCAAATTGAGACTGAAAAAAAAACAGTCCAATAGTATAAACTCAAAAAAGAAAAAAGTTGGACAAGGTGATTGATGCATATTCTGAACTTAAATCAGAAATCCTAGACTCGTGAGCGTGTACCACATAAAGACTTCTGTTCCTCATTCCCTGCTTTGGTAGACCATATTTGAAAGCTAAGTTCCTACTATGTTGTTCACTGATTAACAGGGGCAGGCTGGCCTCAGAGCAGTTGTCCCCTTGGGCTTGTCTCATTTGTATGATTTAGGTGAGCAGTAGCCTTTCTTCCATTCCTGAACTTCTGTACTGGGCAAAAGAAAAAGGTGTCTGTGCAATCAGAAAAATGATATAGCTTAAACACGTGATCTACTGCTATAAACTGCCAAATCAATTCTGGAAAATGTCCCTGGAAGGGTCAGTGTGTGTGCATCAGTGTGTGTTAGTGATTGCATGTGATTCTTTCGCAATTAAAAGATACAGTCAGAGGTGAACTATTATTTCGTAGGCGTGCTTTGTGTGCTCTAAGTAGACATGGAGGCTATGTTCGTAAATGAACAGCGAGCAGCCCAATGGCTAATGATTGATGGTTCAGTGTCTGTTACGCAAATTGTGCAAATGAATGGAGCGTGTAGATGAGCAGATTTTTTTTCACAGCGAAAACATGTATAAATATTAAATTAAAATTATTTTCATTTTAGGATTAAGCAGGGACTTATTTTACACTTATTATTATATTACTATAACCCAGGAGTACTTCAGCAAATACAGGGAAAAGGCCAGTTGCCCCAAAACCAAAGCATCTCTAACGGGGTTATTCACTGAACTTAGAATTGTCAAGGTTCATATTGAATTCAATAGTAATTAAAAAAAATGAAGGTTAAAATAGCCAAACTGGAAAAAAATCTACAAGTCAGCAATACATACAGTTTGGCTTCTCTGAACTTAAATATTAAATTCACTTTGAATTCCCGACAATTTTCACGTTAGTGTATAACCCTGTATGTGTTATTTTAGCTGGACTTGTAGAAATAATCTTGCCCAGGACTCCATAACATATACCTAACAAATCACCCAGATGTTTCCTTTTACTGGTATATAAACAATAGATAGGGCTTTTTATCTCGTGTTTTAATGTCCTAAATAGAAATCTACCAGCCAGCCCCTGTTTTTGAAAGATGGAGGTCAGGTCTCTGTACGTTGATGAAAATAAAAACACAATGTTATAATGCATGATAAGTTCAGTCTGCAACATTCTCTCTGTGTCGTTCTTTATGCACCTATCCAACAGGTGGTGGTGTATTGTTATTTAAGTAGGTAAATATCTACACTGCCCAAAAGTCCACCCAATAGTAAAAACAGTGGAAGTTCATGGTAATTCAATGGCTTCCTTTAAGGCAGGAGTGACAATGTGCCATTGTGACCATGTGCCAGTGTTGATTTCATCTGCTACGCTGGTGGGAGCTGTAGAATGTTAATATCTTGGGCAGTCGCGAGAAATCTTGGCACCTGGCGTGAAATGTCCTTCTAGAAGGCAGCATATCTCAATGCGTGCTGGAGTACGAAGGCATTGTTTAAACAATAGTTATTGCTTCCATCTGAGCAAGGAAGGCCATTCGTCTTAAAGGATAAAATTATGGAAGATTTGCTTCCTCTTGCATAGATGAAGAGCTATACAACATTATTCACAAAACTCTTCCAAAAATCAAGGCACAAAACATTTTAGAAAGTCCATGGAAATGTCCAACGAGCATTTCTTTTTGAGAAGCAAAAGACAAACAAGGACGTGTGAAAATGTAAAAAAACAGACTTGTGCCAAGACCATTTTTACTGTGAAGATTGTCAAGCCAAAGCCAAAGCACACCAGGGATCCTGTCTGACGGAGGCGGAAACTTCAGACGCTGAGCTGAGACTGACTGCAGAATACATCCCATCTTGACCTGTGTATTTTAGTGCATTATTATCAGGGCTGTTGTTCCCACTTTGAGAAGACATCATCGATGAACCAACCTAAGCCAAAACAAAGTAAATACTTGTCAGTTTTTTTTGTGGCCAACGAATCGTATCTAAAATACATACAGAGATAGTGATGCAATAACAAGTACAAATGTTAACACATTCCATACTCCAGTGAGTGTGGAATTCACTGAGATGTTATGTGTTACACAACATCTGATGCAAGGTATGAAAGGAGGGATGGTTATATTCTCCCCCAGTTTTACAGTTAAAGGTAACCTTACAATTTACCCAAATAGTTTGCTTTTGCAAAGCACATTATTAGCACTACAGGGACCACCACAAATATCACTGATACTCAAGAGGTTAATTTTATTCTCTGAAAACTCCATATATAAAAAGTGCTAGTTGTGTTTTAATTTTGAATTTAGCAACTAGGGGTAGGCAACCTTTTAGCAGCACTGCGCCAAAATAGGATTGTGATGGCCCCGCAGCGTGACAGTCCTATTTTTTTTAAATTGAGGTTTGTATGTTGCCGTATCCTGCTTGTGTTATTTATACTGCAGTTGCTTTGTAGCATTGTATTTATGCATATATGAGTAGTTTGTGGTATTGTGTATGATACATATGAATAAGGGCTGTGTATGGGGGCTGCTTGTGGAACTGTGTTTGTGGATGGATATGTCACATTGTGTGTTTGGTACTGTGTGTATGTGTGGGGCTGTTTTGGGGTATTGCATGTGAGAGGCTGCGTGTGGGGTTGTGTGCATGTATGTGGATTGTTAGTGTTACTTTTGTGCCGATTGTGCGATTGTGTGTTTATGTGTGGGCTGTTTGTATTATTTGTATGAGGGGAGGCTTATTCTGCATTTCTGTGTACATCTAGCAGTGTGGGTGACTTCCCTGGGGTCCAGTGGGGTCCTGGCTGGATAGGTACAGGTCAAGAACAGGAGCTGCTACAGCAGCTTCGGGCTGCTCTACTCCAGTGTGGATTCACATTCACAAGTGCTAGAATTAAGTGATCTGAGATCACTTCCTCTATGCATAAATTGAGGATTGTCCTTCACCACCTTTTTGTATAGGCACATATCTAAAGTTCACTGGGACTCCTGATAGGTCAGAGCCTATTTGGCTCTAGCAGGCTTAAGTGCCGTGCAAAGACACCTTGAGTCCCATGAAGGGGAGGCACCAGGAAAAAAAAATATTTTCTGTAAAATGTGATCCATGTTAAGTCTCCCTTTACACTACTTTGGATAATAAATAATTTGCATAAAGAATACACAAATTTAGCCATGTGATAACTAATGTGATCTAAATTTCCAAACAACTTAATATGGTATATTTTATTTTTCCGTCTTCTCTTTAATACACTTTTCCCTCGGGCCCTTAAAATTTTACTGCAACAGTTTTATAAAATTATAATTATTTCTTACTTGGATAGAATGAAATGACTATTTAAGGAACTGTAACATTGCGGATGTTACTCTTATCTACTGTTTTTTATTTACAAACAGAAAAAAAAAGTAATTTCTCTACAATATCCATAAGTTGTGAACAGGCATTGCAAACTGCACCAGAGATATGTATGTCTCCCAAAGGAATTCAGTCAGCCAGACATCATGAGCAGGCCAGCAAGAATTCCACGCAGTTGTACTTAAGTTGTCAATGTAAATTATGGCATAAAGATTTGTAGGAAGGCTATAACAACTATGGAATTGCAGTAATGGGCCAATATTATAAAGTTCCAAGAGACTATTTAGCTGTCTTTGATTAATTGCAATCACAATACTTTCTCTTTTACATCTCTTAATTTTAAAAAAATAATAATAAAAAAATACTTAATGAAAACAATTTGAAATAATGAAAGAAAAAAGAAAAAAATCAATTGAATAAGCATAAATTGTAAAAATTGTATTGAGAATAATATCCAAAAACAGAGGGGCAACTCTTTGATTTGCTATAGATACCCTTTACTCATTCATAGCGTAGGCATATATGCATATTGGCTAATAGCATATGCTCCTCTTCTGTCTGTCTGCTGACTGTGTATGGTTTCTGGGTGTCTGTACTAAATGCAATTCTTGCTGTTCCAGTGTGGATGGAATAAGTGCAATGAGAGGCAGAGTTCCATTCTTCCCTTTCTAGCCTCACAGCACATCAATGTAAGGAGAACATTCAGAGTTTGAACAATGTTGCAGTGCATAGCAAAGTCCACTAAGTATGGCTTCCACACAATCTCCGATGGAAGGAAAAATTGAGATGTGGCTGGAAATATGGAGAAACAGTGGACAGAGAAATGAGGAGTAACAGGTGGGGAATGATATGGAAAGACAGGTGGGATAAAGAAAAGGCAAGGCAGGTTAGGGCAGAGAAAAGGAAAGAGACAGATGGGGGAATAATGCAGAAATATAGTGAGACAGGTAGGGTAAGATATGAGGATAGAAAGGTTGGAGTGTATAATGTAGAGAGATTGTAATGGGGAGAGACTGGTTGGGGTGATAAGATACAGTTGGGGGGAGGAATGGTGAGAAGCAGGATGTGTGATGGGGAATAAAGGATAGAATAAAGATGTGGAGCAGTTGAAATATCTTAATTATGGACACCAACATGCATGGGGGGCACCTGAGCACGTTGTTCTTTCGTTCCACCTGTAAGTTGTACAACAAAGTGAGGTTTGCTTCAACTAACATCCAATAACGTACGTCTCAACCTCAAATATGATACAAATCACATGAACAACCCGTGGGTATGGGAGAAGAGGGTGGGTTCTAAGAATAGAGACGGTATATCGTGACAGTATGATGAGTAACACATTACTCAACATTTCCAGGTAATTCCAAAAACCCTTTGACCTGTCACTGCTGTTTGGAGAAAACAAACAGACCCAAGGTTTAAGTGGATGGTACCTGTCAGTTATATATTAAAAGTTACAGCTCTGGGAGTGCAGAAATATGCAGCATGGATATGGGATGAGTGGAGAAGAAGGTTTGGGTGTGTCGATAGGAAACATTTGAAGTATGAGGATGAAAATGCTGACACCACTTTCTGTTTAATAAATTCACACCAGAATCTCAGATTGCTTGGAAATATTTCGCAATAAATCCATTTAGTGCCCTAAACACTGCGTGCTTTCCCACATTCTTTGCTTATGCCAAATATCCAATCCTCTAATGCTGGAACGTTCGACTCAGAAATCATTCTGATACTTGAGTTGAATCTGTGCTTTTCTAATATAGAGTATATCTAACTGCAGTACATTTCCATTAGCAAAAAGTCAAAAATCCCTGTTCTTAACAAAACAATAACATTTGTAAAAACAAATAAAAAATAGCAACATTTACACGGTTTGCTTATCTATAATCATAAAGAAGCAGGTATAAACAGCAGCTAAATTAACTATGTGTTTCATTTGACTAATATTCCATTCTTTTTCAGAGTTATGTAGAGATCTACTTACATACAACTTTTACGGGGTTTGAGTAGAATCTTACAATTAAAGGTTTATTGCACAAATAAAAAGTGCAATACTCCTTACACTAACAGAGGGCAAAGTTTTTTTAATTTTCACTATCAGAGTACAAGGTTTCATTAAGCCTCTTTGAGCCACAAATGGTAACAGACACGGCCAATCTGTGGGCATGTTAAATGGATCAGAATGGTTAACCGCATTTAAAGGATCACTAAGGATCACCCAGCCCACTTAATTTTAGTGAAGTGGTTTAGGTGCAGTGGCCCTCTCTGGGATTTTAACCAAGCAATGTAAAACATTGCAGTTTTGTAGAAAATGGCAGCCACAAGAGTTGCTTCCTTCTCCAGAACAAAGTAAAATCAGTCTTGGAATCAAATACTGCTAACAGCAGCACTTGATTGGAGGTGCTCAGTAACTGGTCGCACATGCCTAGTTCCAATTCATTGCTTCTCTATGATAAGCATCAAATTACAGCTGATCATGGAAGAATTCAGCAGGCATGCTGGCGTCTTCCAAGATGGAGCGGGCAGCTGCAGCGGGAAAGAGTCAGAGTGCTGGAAATTTAGCCAGTAATCTTTCCTTATATTAATTTTTTTAATCCAATGAGGAGGACAGAAGTGAGTCTAGAGTCCCGAAAATACTATTATTATTTTTGGGACTATAAGTTCCCTTTAAGGAAAATACATGCAGATAAGATTAATGATGAAGTGTTTTATATATGATGACAAATCCTGATACTTCTTGTCAGGATACACTCTGAATGGCACCATAGCAGTGGATTATGGGACAACAAAAGAACAAAGCTATTTCACCTTCCACTTCACCACAAGGATTGAAATCAGAAGAAGCAGATAAGTTGGAGGTCAGGTACATAATGATTTTTTACAAACGAAATGCCCCTATATTTTGTATACACTAATTTACTATCTCTGACTCCCTAGTTAAAACTCAAAAATTCTTACCACTCGTAGCAACGTAAAAACACACGTGCAAAATGAACTCGTTATATTTGATCAATGTGTTATGACAGACAGTGGGACCTTTAAAGATATGTAGAGATAACATTATAGATAACCTAGATAAGATGATAATGATAAAAGATAACAAACACTTGGCATTCTGTTTACCAGCTATCAAGCAGACACATACCTCAGAAGCCGTGCTTTGATTGTTAATGGGAGAACCATTCTTACCACAGTCATCAGAGTTTGTGGATGATGTGGTGGAAGTTGGAGTCATGGGTACTTGGTGGCTGCTGGTACCTGAAAACAAATATATAATATATCATAAATATTTAGTTGTTAGTATGAGTAAAAACTGTAAGGCAAAAACATGCCTATCCTCCACATGAACAAGAAGAACTGACTATTTGAAAGTGGTCACCATAATAGAACATAAGACATGCCTGTCATGCTCTCCACACTACTCTATCATACGCACGTTAACTAGGTTATTCAATAAAACCTGAACTGTAGTGAAAGTTATTAAATAGCAGATTTGGAAAAGTTCTTCATCTCAGCTATGAATACAATCTGGCAATTTAAACTTCAATTTTGTGATTCAGATTTTAAATTTTCAAAATTTAGAATTTCTTGAATAATTGTTTATATTTGTTGTCTATATATTTTGACTCTGACCACACTGAGCTGAGTACTTACATTCAGAGTCAGCTCAGCAAGCTGCTTTGTGAACTACCTCATGGTGAGTTTAAATGTGAACGTAATAATAGGCCATAGCCTAGCATCTAACACTGCATTTTCTAAGGTAGTGTTCATTATTTTACATACCGTTACTAGAAGAGGACTTTGATTTGTTAAGGTTTTTTGGTTTACGCTTTCTTGTCTGAATACCTTCCTTCTTCATCGCCAATGGTCGTGGGACCTGCAGGAAAATGAATGTAAATGTTACACCTTCCCATAGTATAAACAATGCATAATCATTATTAGGAAATGTAGATCACATACATTTGAAATCCTTTTTTCTACCCATCCTTAAAGGGAATAATTACTAATGGCTAAATCTACACTAGCAAACCAAGCTCGAACAGCTTTGGTTTGATTAAACTGACTTTTTTATGTGTATTAAAGTAAAACTCATAGTACATCCAAATGTATAAAGTTATTCCGATATATACAAATGTTAAGGACAAATATTAAGGAATTGCTGATCCAGTAATTCTCAAACTATTCCTAAAATAAATAAACCACACTACTAGCTGTTGACTGTATATTTGCCTGCAGGCACAGTGTTAAAAATAAATTAAATTAAAACATACAACTGTATGCCCTAAGACTCAAGATTCAAAACATAGGAGGTATATCACATGTATATTAAAGGACATCAGTCACCTCAAAACTATTTATTTCATATTTTAATATAATTTTAATATAATAATCCTTTCATCAAGTTTTGAAAAGAAATAGTTTTTTTGTTTAAATTAAAGGGACACTATAGTTACCAAAACAAATTTAGCTTAATGAATTCATTTTGGTGTATAGATCATGCCCCTGCAGGCTCACTGCTCAATTCTCTGCCATTTAGGCGTTAAAACACTTTGTTTATGCAGCCTTAGCCACACCTCCCTGCATCATTCCTAAACACTTCCCGTAAAGAGACATCTAAAGCTTAAACTTCCTTTATTGCAAATTCTGTTTTGATGTAGAATTTCTTATCTCCTGCTCTGTTGAAAGCTTGCTAGACCCTGCAAGAGACTCATGTGTGTGATTAAAGTTAAATTTATGGAGCAGGAGATAAAATCAGTAAGTTACATCTGATTGAATATGAAACCATTTTTTTAATGCAGGCTGTGTGAGTCACAGTCAGGGGAGGTGTGGCTAGGGCTGCATAAACAGAAACAAAAGTAATTTAGCTCAAAGATGACAGAGAATTGAGCAATTAAATGTCAGAGGCATGATCTATGCACCAAAACTGTTTTATTAAGATAAAGTTGTTTTGGTGACTATAGTGCCCCTTTAAGTTTATGTAACAAAAATGACAATTACTCATTCCTACCTTTAGTATATGACAAGATTCCTCAGCCATATACATGTACCTTGGGTCAGACAATCTTTAAAAACCAACTGTTAGTCTCTATGGTCTTCCCTGCTTCCGAGCATTGAGTGGTGTAGAGAGTGAAGCAGGAAAGACGATAGAGACTAATTGTTGGTTTTCTCACACTGATTTAACCAAGGTATATGTGATAGATCCTGCCATATACTAAAGGTAGGCATGCATTTTTCTCATTTTTTACATATAATTCTTTTTTTTTTTCTAAATATTTATTTTCAAAATGTGATGAAAGAATTATTAGATCAAACAGTTTCGAGGTGACAGTTTCTCTTTTAATTGCATGCTATATTAGGATAATTATCTGTATGCAGTTAATAACGACTGCACCATGTGAGACTGGTTATCTATAAAATAACATAAAGATAGTAAGGTATACTATGCGTTAATATATTTCCATAACAATTTATTTGGCCTGTTTTCCAAACAGAAATGATCAGACATGGGTTCAAATAGTCTTACAATCATCTAGTGGTTATTTGTACGATTTGCTGTGACCTTTTCACATTGAGATTCTTTCACTGCTCTGATAATTGTGGAAATATAAGCAGGGTATTTGAAATTTTTTCTAAACTTATTTTTTCTTTTCTATATATATATATATATATTAGTTGTATGTTTGACAGATGATGGCAAAACATGAATGGCATACATACCCCATGCAGTTTCATGTACAGCCCACAAGCATTGCACACTGGTTCCCCTTCTGTGTTTCTGCGCCAAAGCGTAGTCGTAGAGGTATGACAGTTGGCACAGGCCAAGCCAATCCTCCTTGAAGAAGGCTAAAGAAAAATACAATGAAATCATGTAAATAATTTGCACATTGAAGTCATCTTTTTTCATTTCTAGATATAAAATATTATCAGAACAGAAATACTATAAAACAAAAGGCAAATTTACAGCACGGAGCAGCAATTTAAAATAGCAAACACCCAAACAATGCGTTCCTAAGACGAGGTAAAAAAAATGCAAACTAAATGCAAATATGTACACAAAGCCTTATTAATTATTAAACCATGAAGTATATTTTCCACAATTACTAAGTATTACAAGTCGCTGTTGTGTTTTTTGTTTTTTTAGAATGATATATATTTTTTTTTATCAGTTTGACTATATGCCGTATTAATAATTTTAGAGTTAGTGTTGTTTCAGGTATTTTCTCCACTTATCAGAATACTACTATGCTGCTAATCCTATATAAATTAAGTGATAGGTGAGATCCAGACCCTTACATCTAGGAGCCTTGGTAACCAATATATTTCTGAGCTCTCAGAAAGATAAACCATGAGGTAAAATGTGGGTCATATTTTAAAAAACAAGTTGGCCAATTTTATACATTTAGGCCCAGATTGAAGCATAATGTCCATAAAATCACAATTCAGGTTGGTGAAAAACTCATACAAGTTGTCCAGCATCACTAAATATGATTATAATGTTTATGGAGGTAACTCAAAGAACATTAGGCATTCCCTGCTAACCTTCAGCACTCCAGGTGTTGTGGATTACATCCCCCATAATGCTCTTACATCCATAATACTGGCAAAGCATCATGGGAGGTGTAGTCCAAAACACCTGGAGTGCCAAAGGTTGCCTATGCCTATTATAGATGCACAGATTGTTTGTTCTCTTCTTGTAAACATTTATTCATGAAGTTTCAGCAACTCAGGTGGAACATAATACACTCCATATCAAGACCCTAATAAACAGTCCATAGCAAGACCCTAAATTAAATCAATTATCTGAATATGTGGGTCTGCAAAGTGTTAATGTCAAGGTCATTATAACCCACAGATCAGCTGAGATAAATAGGACAAGGTCATCTTAAAGACCCAAGTGAAGGAGGTTAAAAAGGAAGGCGAGTGATAAAATACATGGAGAAGATGGATTATAACATCCAGATTAATGTTTATTTCAAGCCTAGGGAGGCTAAATGAAAAATAATGAAGTCATAAAGAAAGCACTTATTTCTGTCACATTTAGACAAAATCCCTGTACCCCACAGTGACATTTGATTAAAACTGAACTACCTGTATTAAATATATTATATTTTTGATTTAAACAACAGTTTTTGGAAAAATTGTAAAACTTGATTATTATGGTTTAAAGTTTGCAATATCCTTGTTATTGTCTCACAGTTTATATTTAGTATAGTATTCATAGTGAAAATGTAATTTATTCCATAGTCTATCTATTTCATTTTATATATACTTTTATCAGGATCTAATGATAAAAAAAGAGGATTTTGTAAGAAGAAAAAAAGCCATAATCTCATCTTTATGGTTTATTATAAATATTATTATCTTACGTAATGTATTGTAGTATATTGCACACTACACTGGAGTTCTCATGGGTATATTAACTGTGTTTGTACCCCCTCAATTAAACTATACAGCCTGCCTTGCAGGACACAGTCATAAATGGAACATGAACGATGACAATGAATGATCCCTTCTTAATCTGTTCTCAAACTAAATGTGAATTTCTGGAATCAAGGTCCATGGTTCAAATAAGCTCTTTATGACTACATCCAGCAGTCTGTATCCAAGGTACAGCAGTCATATATAGCAAAAACAACCATATAATAAACCAAATAGAGATTTATGAGTTGTGTGTGTTCCTTTCATGATAAGAGTAAGAGATGGTGTTCAAAGACATTAACTCATTCGCTACTACAGATTTAGTTATGTTATATTGCAGAAGGAAGGGTATTTCTTTCAATTAAATAGGCAATCTAAGCACCATAACCACTACAAGTCCCCTGGCGCTGTGCATTGGTGCCATTTATCAGTCTGACACTTATTGGGCTCTGTTAGGCTCCAGAGGACCTACTGGATGGCATGGATATGCTACCGCAGAAGTTCATACTCCCACATTAATTTTATGCAGCTTTGGACAATCTTCCTTGGCTGAGAAAGTCTGCTGATGATATACAGTGGTTATGGTGCTTATCCATTTAAAGGTTTCTGCAGCAATCTCTAACTGACCTCTGTCAATGATCTTTGTCTTTTATTTAATATATGTGTATGTTACTATGTATTATTGTCAGTGTTATGATACCAAATCAACTTGTTACAACAGTGGTGAGAGATGTTCCATGATTTTCCACATTGGAGAAAAAGGCCTGGCCCATATGAGACGTGGTGAATTATGGCTTTTACCATTTCTCTATACCCAAGTTCCTAGGCTGTGTCTGATTGCCTTTCTGACAGCTATTTGTCACAAGTGGAGGACAAGGCCCTAGATAAATTGTGCTGCCTGCAATTGTACTCAGCAGAGCACAGTGACACAGCTTTATAGACGGAACAGCATCCTCATTACAATCAAAGTGCATGGTTCATTACAACCCCAATCTAAAACAATGAAAATACCACCAGCAAGCATATGCATTCACAATGAGAAACAAACTGTTACATTATCTAGGGGGAAGCGAGACTATTTTTTTTTTTTTTTTGATGTGTTTGTGGGGACTGCTGTTTGATGGTACAGTAAGATTAAAATGCATATAAATTGTCAGCCTGTGTGGCTGCATGTTACATTAAGAGCTGCTTTTATCATGGTTATTCCACGGAGTCAATGTCTTTGTGGCTATGCTGCAGTAAGTACTAGAATAAATAATAGCAGTATCATTATGATACAAGTGGTAATATTAATATACAGTGGTAGTATTATTGTGACTGATATATCAAGTGGTAATATTAATATACAGTGGCAGTATTATTGTGACTGGTATATCAAGTGGTAATATTAATATACAGTGGTAGTATTATTGTGACTGGTATATCAAGTGGTAATATTAATATACAGTGGTAGTATTATTGTGACTGGTATATCAAGTGGTAATATTAATATACAGTGGTAGTATTATTGTGACTGGTATATCAAGTGGTAATATTAATATACAGTGGTAGTATTATTGTGACTGGTATATCAAGTGGTAATATTAATATACAGTGGTAGTATCACTGTGACTGGTATATCAAGTGGTAATATTAATATACAGTGGCAGTATTATTGTGACTGGTATATCAAGTGGTAATATTAATATACAGTGGTAGTATTATTGTGACTGATATATCAAGTGGTAATATTAATATACAGTGGTAGTATTATTGTGACTGATATATCAAGTGGTAATATTAATATACAGTGGTAGTATTATTGTGACTGGCATATCAAGTGGTTAAATTATTATATACTGGCAGTGTTATTGTGGCTGTGATACAGTAGGCTCTCTATAGTAGAAATATATATATATATTGCAATAATTGTCAGTGCTACTTTAGTAGACTGTCAGTATTATTCAGTCAATAAACGTTGTTATAGAATAGAATACAGTGTATTCTCATTTCTTTGCTGGGTACAATCATTGCTCAGAATGCTGTGTCTGTACTCTGCCTGTATGAGCCTGTGGTACCTGACACAGCCCAGCTATGGGAACATGTGATTTGGGGAGTGCCTCCTTGTTATTCAGGATGGCTGGCTCTGCTTTACTCACCACTCTCTTCTGGGGTTTGATAAGGGGCCGGCTCAGCCCATTCATCTTACTGTACAGCCCACAGGCATTGCACAGATAGTGGCCGGTGCCATCCCGTCTCCAAAGGGGGGTCTGCACTGAGCCGCAGTTCACACACTCCCTGCTCTCTGGCATCTCGTCCAGTACATCTGGAAGGAAAGGGCGAGACCATTAGACTCATGCGGGGTGTTGTCATACACAAAGTTCCTGACCTGACCTGACTTGGAGGGATTAATATACCAAAACAGATATCTGTATACATGATATACATGGCAAATATCCATACATATAATATATATCCATGTACTTTTTACCCATACATGTAATGTCCATGTACTTATTACCCATACATATAATATATATTACCCATAAATGTATTATACATGTACTTATTACCCATACATACAATAATATCTATGTACTTATTACCCTTACATATAATATCAATGTACTTATTACCCATACATATAATAATATCTATGTGCTTATTACCCATACATATAATATATATTCATGTACTTATTACCCATACATGTAATATCCATGTACTTATTACCCATACATATAATATATATTACCCATAAATGTATTATACATGTACTTATTACCCATATATATAATAATATCTATGTACTTATTACCCTGACATATAATATCAATGTACTTATTACCCATACATATAATAATATCTATGTACTTATTACCCATGCATATAATATATATCCATGTACTTAGCACCCATACATGTAATATCCATGTACTTATTACCCATACATATAATAATATCTATGTACTTATTACCCATACATGTAATATCCATGTACGTATTACTCATACATATAATATCTATGTACTTATTACTCATACATATAATATGCATGTTCTTATTACCCTTACATGTAATATCCTTGTACTTATTACTCATACATGTAATATCCATGTACTTATTACCCATACATATATTTCCATGTACTTATTACCCATACATGTAATATCCATGTACTTATTACCCATACATATAATATATAACTATGTACTTATTACCCATATATGTAATATCCATGTACTTAGTACCCATACATGTAATAATATCTATGTACCTATTATTTATACATATAATGTCTTTGTACATATTAATAATATCTGTGTACTTATTACCCATACATATAATATTTTCATGTACTTATTACCCATACATGTAATATCCATGTACTTATTACTCATACATGTAATATCCATGTATATATTACCCATACTTATAATAGTATCTATGTACCTATTGCTTATATATATAATATCTATGTACCTATTACTTATACATATAATATCTATGTACTTATTATCAATACATGTAAAATCCATGTACTTATTACACTTACATATACTATCCATATACTTATTGCTAATACATATAATATATATGTACTTGTTACCCATACATGTAATATCCATGTACTTATTACACTTACATATAATATCCATATACTTATTGCTAATACATATAATATATATGTACTTGTTACCCATACATGTAATATCCATGTAATTATTACACTTACATATAATATCCATATACTTATTGCTAATACATATAATATATATGTACTTGTTACCCATACATGTAATATCCATACCCATACATTTAATATCAATTTACTCATAGCCACACAGGCACACAAAACTCCTTCATAGAATATATCCATACACAAAGTACATATATAATAATATTCATGCACATAGTGCAATTAATACAGAAAGCAACTGAACCATAATATCTACTGTATGATGGCAAAACTAAATACACAAGGAAGACAGAATTTATTTACAACATAATCATAAAGAATATATGGCAGCAAATATTAGCCAGGTTCTGATCATTCCATATTAGAACATATAGTTTAAATGGATAATAAAGTTCAAAACCAACAGGCAACATTCTTACAATACCTGATACACCCTGGCTATATACTGTGTACAGAATAATCAAACCACAAAACATATGGTATATGGCAGATTATATTTATATTCGTTAAGGCTATAACAATAATGTTATTTCTATATAATGATAATTGGTCCTTTGTTAGCTTTAAAGGCCATCAATGGCAATAGTATATCTATACTTACTAAAGCATTTGTATTTAAATAAGTATAATAATACTGATGTGTTTTAAATCATATAAATAAAACATAATTACACCTCACCAGCAGGTGCAATGCAGCTTTCTGCTTTAAATTTGTATTTCATATTGGGATGTATTAGGAAATGTATCGAATTTAAATCCGAATGTCAAAATCACTGTAGTTCGAATTCAGCGTGAATTCGAAATCAATTTCAAATTTCAGGCCAAATTAACCGAATTGGAAATATTCTCTCCTATGTATATAATACCAGATCGGACACTTTGGCCTAAAATTTGAAATTTACTTTGAATTCTCAAAATAACCCAGGACGGCTTATCTAGAACAATTCTCCAACTCAGCTCTATTTATATCTCAGCTGTTTTAACCCAAATTCTAGAATTGTTGTCAGATCGCTGTCATTCGGGGTTTAGTGTATATCCCCTGCCTGCTGAGCTGCGTTGAACAGACCGCCGATTTGCAATACTTCGAGTAACAGAGCGTAAAAATAGGTTTCTCTATTGCTTAGTATTGCTTTGCAAATCAAATGTCTTTTTTCAACTGACCATATATAGTGGATAGACCCCCATTAACTCCAGGTATATTTTTCTATCACGAACTGGCTTTATAATAGAGCGTATAACCCATTTATTAATTATTGAGACAAACATAAAATAAATAGAGGCGCTATTCTGTCAGAAAAAAACAATAAAAATAAATATAATAAATAAATAATTACTGATCTCAAAATATATAAATCTAATCAGTTAAGTCCATCCTATCCCTCCTGTATCTGATATTCCATATGGCAGCATTTATTATATCATAGTAGATCGTATATCATGTTATAGTATATAATATTTCACAGTATATAATATCATTTGCTGATTTTTGTTCTGAAATTATAATCACATCTATCTTCTAAAGGGTGAATTGTTGTGAATTCAGATTGAATAAAAAGTAAATTTCAAATTACAGAATAAAATAGCTGCAATGAGGGACAAAAATCAATAAATTAGCTCTGTTTTTAGGTTCCATATTTTGATCTAAAATGTGGCATTCACTTTGAATTCCCGACAATTCTCACTTTAGTAAACAACCGTGTCGGTTATCAGCTCAGTCGTTAAACTTTCGATGCCACTCTGGCTTATTAACGAAAATGGGAATTGATGGGAAAATTCCCAAAGTCAGGTATGGCTTTTTTTTTTTTTTTTATTTCGTGAAATTTGAAATGCACCTTTAATTTGCAACAACTCATATTTTGGTGAATAACCAGAACTATGGTTCATCATTTGATTTGTATGATGTTGATGTTTTGAAGATTTTGTTAATGTAATTAAAACACTAAAAGTTTAAATTGGAAAAATATATAACTAATCTTTCTATGTATATAATGTATTTATTTATTATTATATTATCGTGTATGTATATATTATTAATTAATTATTTAATGTTTGGGGGTTTTTTTTCAAAGTACTGCCCCCCTCCTTTATGACGTTGCCATTTACGTCCATTAACAAGAATGGCATAACTCCATTAAAAAAAAAAAAAAAATAGAGTGGATATATTAATTATGTAATTGATTAATTAAAATTAAAATGAGCATGAGATCATTGTGATAAGTTACAACCTCGAAAGGTCTCTGGGACACAAAATATATAAAGTATATATATATATATATATATAGTAAATATTAATCTGACATTAAAATATATTACATGCTCTGAAAATAACAGATCAGATCCCATTTCGATCAATATTGTCTGAGATTTACGTTAAAATAATTAAAGTCATTTTAAATTAAGCCAATATAAGTATACCTACATTTTTGCTTGGCACTACGGGATTTGTATTTAATCGACGCACAGGTAATGAAAGAATAAAAACTGATATTTTTAGGATTTGAATCAGACTACTCAAAAATATTTATAAAAAAATAATACTAGCAGCTATTAGTACTTTTATTAAAATGATTTAATCGTGATGAATATAAGGAATGTCTAATAATATGACTAATTTATCATTTAAAACATGTGAATATCGTCTACAAAATGCATTGGTTTTCGAATACAATAAGTGATAACAATGTAACACACATAATTTAGAATTTAAATATGATGGAAAAAACTATCAATCAGCTCAGAAATCAATTTGAGTAAAAATTTTAAGTATACACAAAGCAGTCAACGAAGACTATATACTAAACAGTGATTTGTGGTTTTAAGGACCAACTTGCAATATTTAAACTAAAAATAGCCGAATTATAAAAAAATTCATCCGAATTTGGAATATGTTGGCCTATATTTTGCAAAATTGATGTCAAACTCTGACTATTCACATGTTGTTTAACTTTGACTTATTATCATTCATAACTAACATATGTATAAACCAACCATGATATTTTTGTTTTACAAATAAATGATAAAATCTATCAAATTACCTGGGCAGTTTGTATTTATTTATTTCTTCTTATTTATGTTTTATATAATTAAACTACGCTTTCATTTAAATAAAAAGGAGAAATATAGTGCACAATATAGTGCACACAGTGTTTATGTACTTTGCACACACAAGCCATATACTATGCACCTGGTAACTTTTCTTTAGTCTTTATTTTAACCAAGTACTTTTGCAATCCATAAAGTCCCTGACACTTCAAGGACAGTATAGTTAAACAGTCATCCGTCAGGCTCTGTATGAGTCTCTATTTTATTGCACAATTTAGTGTAATGACTAATGGGTATAAATAACAATTCTAAACTTTAAAAGCTTAGCAGATTTACAAGAAGTTGACCTTTCATGTCATAAAACGAAAAAAAAAAAAGATTTTTCACCGTACTGGCAAACATTAACGGAATATAATGCACTATGGCTATTATTGCCAAAACAAGTATCAAAACTCTGTCCTGTGTCTGACTCTGGGGTATGGGGGACCTGGAATAAACATTTTAGTGAAGTATAAAATGTAACCACTATATAGGTAATAATATTCATAATTATAATAATAATGTTTAACCACCCCTTGTTATTTTTTTTGAGATTACATTTATTTACCTTCCAACAGGGAATATATATTTTTTCAGGATTATAATTGGATAAACATGTATAGATTCGAGATAATTAAATTACATTTTAGAGGCTTATTCCCTAGTTGTTTGTGGGCTGAAAAATTGACTTGCAAAATCCTGATTAAAATAGCTGAGTTGGTGATACATTGTTTGGGGGGTTTGAATTTAATTAATTTAGTTATAGTAATCCCTACTAATTTAAGGCAGTGTTATTACATTTCTGTATATTATTGGTCATTTTAATAGTTTTTATCTAAAGCTTAGTTATACAGTTTTTATCTATCTGTGTCAGAATGCTGTATTGCTCGTTTGCTTTTAAATAGCAGAAAATAATAAATAATTCGCTTAATAATAATAAATAATAATAATAATGATAATGGATGGACTTAAGGAGTGGATTGGATGATAGATAGATAGATAGATAGATAGATTAAGAGAGAGGGTTTATTTATCCTTGTTTGTGTTACAAGTGTCTGCATGTCTATGGCAGTGATCAATATATTACCCATCAATCTTTACCTGCACATGGTTTTTACAATGATACACCAGCAGATTTGGGGTATATTAGGTCTGACAGCAGGGGGCGCTCTGTCCATATGGGCACCTGCTGTTAGTATTTATTCAACAGTCACTCAATCTGAGCATCGAAATACTGTGCTGTTGAAGATATTACTCGGTTTATGTTTGTTTGGAGTAAGCTGTCAAGTCCTGAAAGACGAGCTGAGTATTACATTATTTAGACACCCCCAAACAGAAAGTGCTTTAAATCTCTCTGTACCACTGTGTGTGTATTAAGGATACATTCATACACCAACAGTTAGCATTCCACAGGCTAATACAATAAGCTCACATTACTTCATTGGTGAAAAAAGGGTTTGACAGTGAAAAACAAACATGCTTTGGTCCTATTTAAGAGGGCTATGTAATCTGTGCATTTACTGTCCTCAGAGTAATGGGGGAAAGGGGTATAGACAGACAGAAATAGATAGACAGACAGACAGACAGACAGACCATAGTAGATGTTGGATATATGACATGTGGAATTTCTGATTTGACCATAAGAGACTTGTCTATAATAGCTAAAGTCCATAAAGAGTGTACAAAACATTAATGATCAAATTCTTCATCTGTAGATTAATGACACTCAGTAATACAATGTAGTGAAAATTTAAGATAATTAACCCACAGAGCACTTGCAGACTTTTATATCCCACATATTGATCAATATCAGGATGCAGCATTTTAAAAACGAATTCTAGAGAACTGCAAAGCAAACTGCAACATTTAGACCAAATTTGGTCGCTTGGAAAAAAAATCTCCAACAACGTTTAGACACAACTTAGCTATTTCAGCCTTAATGGTGCAACAAACAAATACATCGAATTTTAAATCGCTACAGTTCGACGTGCAGTGTTTTTCTGAAATCTTTGGATAATCTTGGAGATACTTACTGCCCAATGAAAATATACATATATTTTTACATATATTAATTTTAAATACAGCATACACCAGTGCTCCCCATGTAAAACACCATAAAAGACTAAACTTCATTGTATTCTCAGCTCAATTGGTTACATGTAAATCTAATACTGTGCACTTATAGAAAGCTTGAAGTTTTGCCATATGGTCTCATTGAGAAGGCCCCATCACACACACTGCCCACAGCCACAAACACACTGAAACACTGACTGCAGAAAAACAACACACGTAAGGGCACAAAATGAGAATTATTTCCTATCTAGCCTCTTCATTTTCCAATTCATATATGGAGTCCATTCATTACATTTTATAAAACATCTGACCACAGAATATAATCTCTAAAATAAATGTCACAAATGTATCAGTCACTTCTATTGTGCAAGATTCGAATTCTATATAATAATAATAGTAATAATAATAATAATGATAATAATGCAATTATTATTATTATTATTATCCAACACAATATTTCTTATAGGCCTCCTCACTTAATTCAAACCTCAAGCAAATATACAACCTCCTCACTTAATTCAAACCTCAAGCAAATATACAATGAATAAAATCACATTCTAAAAATCCCAGTGCAGTCTGACTGTGCTTGTTTGTTCATGTACCTTGTACTAAGGTAATAGGATTTACTAAAGGATTCACACTCACACCGGTGACAAATACCCCCTCTCCCCCCTCCCCCACACACCCCATGTGACACTCTATGAAGACCCTGTGATAAAATCAATTGTCAAAAACAGTTCCTCTTACACTGGCACATAGAGTGTATAGATGAGAAAGGGAACTGGAGAGAATTATATCACTAGAGTAAATATCTCATAACATTTCCCACTATCACTGGTACTTCTCTATTACAACCTACATTGCCAATTGTCTTTTCCTCAATAAATACAGATTATAGAATAGTAGATATTGGTAACAAATCATTATACACCTGTGTCACACACGGTTTTTATTTACTAAACAGCGAGGTTCGGCGACCTGAGAATTGACTTTGAAAATTAAAGACAAATTTATCCGATTCTTAAGATATTTTTTTTTTCTATTTCTGCTGTTTAGTGATTAGATCACACTGTATTGCATTTGATCTTTGTATCTGATCTAAGTAAGATGAGCCCTGTGCACAGAGAATCCAATTTAAAGGTATCTCCCTTTGAAGTGTTTGTTAAGTGAACGTAATATAATTATCACTATAACTGCTAAACCCTGAATCACCGTGAACTAGTCAGGATACATTGTCTAATTAACCCCTGTGCAGCTGGAATGTTTGCAAAACATTAACTGTATCGTTTAGATGGAAATTAATTATGCATTGTGTCTCATTCATATCGCCTAATGCACCCTGCAGGCTGCTGTATCTTATCTCCTATGGTTAGCCAATAGGAAGGTCTCCTGCTGTTTTAGAACTTCAGCTCCCATGGTGCTTTGCCAGACTGAAGTGTACCCTAAATGATGTAAAAGAATCATGGGAGTTGTAGTCCTGTAACAGCAGAGGGCAAACCTAGCCCTGTTTGTTCTGTTTGTCCAGGGCTGAACCAATGCAGAACATTAAATACCTTACATACCTTAAAGTATACACAGGGTGAAATATGTCTGTTTTAGATTTCTCACTACGAAGTATTGAGTGAACTTACAGTAATAAAATGTAACGTATATAGAGGGTCTTTTTGTGAATATCACGTTCTTAAATGCATATCCTTGTAAATCAAAATAATTATTAGTGCACATGACATATTTAGTTAACCCATTCTCCCCAGTTTCACTGTATATTTCCACCATCCTTGGGTCCTTACCTCCAACTGCTCCTCTCATTTGGATAGGCGATGGCCTACCTTGCAGGCTGTGGAGCATGGGGCTATCGAAATGCCCTGTTGACCATGCTGAAGTCAACGGTGGGGTCATGTAAGGCGAGTAATGACTGGGATAGGATCCATTAAAAGACCGGGTCAAAGGTGTATACTGATCTCTGCCATTCACATTGAGACCATTGCTGTAGCCACCATCCCTGGTGGAACCATTGGCAATGGGAGGACTTGGAGAATAATGGTATCTATTGGAGGGGTGGGGGCTGCTGCTGTTGTATGAGGGGCTCTCAGAGGTTGGTTGTGACCATACAGAGTGATTGTTCACAGAGTGTGTGCCCTGAGAGGCCCCTGTCCCCTGAAGGTAGGAGATGCTGGTGAGCATGGAGCCTACCCTGGTGGTGGGGACATAAACTGGAGAGCTGGCTGAGGAGTGCATGAAGCTTGCTGGAGAACTTTCATAGCCCACTGGCCCTTGGGCAGCTGTGATGGTCAATGTCTGATACATGTCCCCTGAGGGCTCAGGTAAACCTCCAAACCTCGAGTCTCTGTTGGGTAAAATTAGCTTGTTTATGTGGTCTAGATCCCTGAAGAGTATGAGATCTTCCGGGCTGGGCAAAGAGGAAAGATGAGAAAGACCAAGGTGGTGGTGGTGGTGGTGATGGTAAGAGTTCGGTGATCTGGCCTCTTGGACTTGAGCGGTCCTTTCCGTCTCAAACTGCTGGGTCTTATTACAGCTCAGGTCTCCTTGGGAACAGGAAGAGGGGGATGAGGAAGAGCTGTCAGTCCCTTTAATTTTGGAAGTGTAGAAGGAGCTTCCTGGATTCAGCCTCTTGACTTCGGCCCAGGAGTCCTCATGGAGGTCCATCCAGGTTGGGGGCTGCAATGGAGAGGGCGCTGGGTGCCTTACAGGGATGGGTGCTGCCAGCCGTATGGAAATGGCTGCTGGGCTGCTTGTACCCTTTAAAGGACATCCCATATAAACAGGATAGAAAAAGAAACAAAGACAAAAAAAAAAACAATGTTAGGAAAACTCTTAAAACAATAAAGTATAAAAAGAAAAAATCTTAGTTCATCTAATTAGATTCACTCAAACAATAGGGGTTAATAAGTAATCACACTGTTGGATGGGTAAATAAAGCCATTAACGTCTGATAACAGATATAATGTAACAAGCTCACATCACAAGCAATATTAAATAAAACACACAGTAAATGACATTAACCATAATAAGGAAGCCCACGTTTGACAATACATTGTTAGTTCCAGTTGGTGATTGCCCCTCTCTAGCTCCCAGCCCACACCCAGAGAGGTACCATGTCCTGTGGCTGTGGGGACCCAGAATCCATTACCCCTCCTGTGGCTCCCTGACTCGGTTATTTGGGTGGAAGGAACCGAGTAGAAGTCATTACACCTAGCAGGAGGACGTCCGTGCCAGTCGGCACCATTTACTCGGGGCCTCCCAAGGTTTGCATTCGGTTACATGTTAGAACCCAGTTACTGTAACACACCTTGTAAATGGCAACTATCCACTATCAACACCGACAGCCTAAGAGCACAGCCAACTCCTGGCACACCTTCAGGGGTCCATGTCTGGCAGAGACACAGGCATGGTGTATAGGGGTCCAGGGGGGTCTGCCAAGAAAGTCACAGCCAAGTTATAAGTGTGGGAAAAACCATAAAGAACAGCAGGGGATTCTCCACCGGACCACAAGGGGTTAACTAGACCACAACAGAACGCTGTAACAACCCAAGCTGCAATACCCCCCCTCCCCTCCCGAAGCCCCTAATCACAGGCAGGACCCCCAGAAACCATCCCAGCCAGGATCCAGGCAGTCAAACCAGGAGGGAAGGAGCTCTGACAAGCAGGAAAACAGAGCAGCTCTTATAACAGTAGAAGGAAATCGAGCAAACCTATTGTGTGCTGCTGGTGGAGTCCATGGGTCGCACTTCAGTCCAGAGATCCAGTGAGGCAGACACAGGGCAGGTCTGGGTGGCTAGTGGTGATGGCTCCTAAACCTGATTACAGCCCAGGGAGGGAGGAGGCGCCTCTTAGAGCTCTGCCTGAAAACTGCAGCAAGTCCTGATTGGATCCATGAAGTCCTAAATAAACAGAGCTCTCCCAGGGGTGCCAGTCCCAGCACTTTGCATACAGCTCACAAGCAAACAGTATGCTGGGAGCACAGCTCAGACAGCACAGCACAAGCTGACTGATGGACTCTCTGCAGGGATCTGAACCCACAAATGGGTGTGTGACTCTACCCAGCCAGGGGCTGAAACAACATGCACCTCCCTCCACTGGAACTAACCCCTTCCATGCCCCAATAGAACGGCGAGGAAGGGGTTAAAACAATAGCCAGCAGAGTTACACAAACAACGTTACAACAAAGTAACAACAAAATCACAACACACATTAGAGCAGATGTAATTACACTGCAGGGGGAATAATAGTTTTATTTCAATTTAATTTTGCAATTGCATTGCTTGTTTGTTTATTCAAGAAACCCTTAGTTTTGCATTCTTAAACCCTTGTTTAGGAACTGTATAAAATAATATAAAATAATACTGCATATAATAATATATATGATAATATAATATAATACTGTGTATAATAATACCAGAAGATTTGTGTGGATAGCCTTTGATGAAGAGAAGAATGCCTCCTTTCTTTCCCTCTGGCAGTGAAAGAGTTAAACTGTGTCCAGCGCCATCGAGTATCAAATAAAATGAATGAATGTGATCCATTTGCCCTCACCATGTTCTAGTGTTAATTATATTATCTCCCTAGCAGACTCCTCCTCTGTGATTGTTTTCAGGTAAGTCAAAGGTAGGTCACATCTCCAGCTAGCCCCTACACACAGAGAGAGAGAAAAAAAAATCTATCTCTGTGTCTCTGAGCAGTTATCTCTCCCTGGTTATCTCAGATGTGAACATACTGATATATTACTGAGCAGAAAAGTGTCTGGAATAAAATCCCTCTGTCCCCTGGCTGAGATTATCAGCAGGAGATCTGTCACCACTGCCAGTACAGAGACTGCTTGCTCTGTGTGATGTGGGGCACATACCTGTGTCATGCTCCCAAAAAAAAACCTACAGAAAGTGCTCCCAGCCCCCAGGACCATCTAGACTCATATCCCTAATTTGTTTATAGGTAAAGGTGAGTGCACAATGGGTCTGCTTTACATGAAACAGCTGCACATTAGGGGAACACATGCTCAGGGCATATTCACACATTCACTCAGCACACCGCACACTTACCTGTGTTATTGTATTCACTGTCACTGTATGTCTGATTAAGGGCAATTACAATTCAACCCACATGCAACATACAGAATTAACTCAATTATCAAAACCACACAACTCCATTAAAGTGATTCATCAACTCTTTGTGAATCATGCTCACTTTCCAATGACTTTCATTCTCTCTCTGAACAACCATCTATCTATCTATCTATCTATCTATCTATCTATCTACAAAGTGTTGAGTTTTTATTTTTTTTATTTTTCAGTGTAACAGGATATTTATATATGATCGAGATTATTATTTTAAAGCATTAATCCGGCAGTGCTTTTTTAACTTGAAATGTTAAAATTATAAATTTAAAAAAAATTAGAAAGTGTGAAGTCTGGGAGATTAATAAACCAGATATAAATATTTTAAAAGAATTGGTAGAATGTATAATTTGATTATAGTAAGTGGAACTTGGTTATTTAGATGTAGCAGTATATACATTTAAATGTATTTTTCACCTTAGAACACCATACACAAATAAATTAGAATAATAGGAACGCCGTTTATTTAAAAAAAAAATAAAAGGGAAGGGGGGGAGAACAAAGTAGAATTTTAAAGTTTAAATATTTTTTTGTTTTTTTTTAAATCTCCTTACAACTTTTGAACTATGCTCTAGGTTACTTTAGAAATATAGAAATATACAAAATACATTTCAATGAATTGATGTTGGTTGGTTCGTGGAGTTTTCCATTTATTATATTTCATTGTCGTTCTGTAATATGTATACTGTTTGTCCACTTTGAGAACATTTTGTTATTTGTAGACCGTTGGATACAATTCTATTCATGTAATATTTATTCAGCCTCAAATCTGTGAATGATATTTTGTTACTACTGTCATTTTGCACATACTTTTCTTGAAAAAAATGTAAGATTTATATTTGCCTAAAGTCTACGTTCTGTTGTTTTTTTTTGTTAGTTTAATTGTGTTTTGTTTTATTGATTGATTTTTGTTTTATTATTTTATTTGTCCCATCTTAGAGGCTCTTAACTAAGTAAATCCTTTTATGAAGATACCATTCTTTGAATTAAAATATTCTGTGCTAAATCAAACATATTTAAAAGTGTTTACGCAGCGACTGTTAGACAATCCTTGTACAATTCCTAATGTAGAATATGCTTTGTCTAAACAAAACTAATTAAGCTTAACAGTAAATAATGAAATTGTAAACACGCTAGAGTTGGCAATTTACATAGATAAACTGTACAGGTAAAGCAATCTCTTTACTCACCAGGATTTCATGTATTGGCGATAAATATACAGTATTTAGGAAGGGGGGCTTATTCACTAAAAAGTAAATTAAAGCGAATAGACAAGTGGCTTGTAAAATGTAGGCCATTTAGTTGTTTGGGACAAAATATTCCAACACTAATAAATTTGACTTTTCCTAAACTTGTCTATTTTATATTTAATTTGAAAAGTTTACTCTCCCCTCACAGCCTCATACTGTTTAGTGAATAAGGCCCAATGCCTCTTTATCCTGTAAGGGAAGCCCACAATGTGTAGTGGCATGGGACGATAAACGGCTGATTTATAGCCTTTTTCGTTACAAGATTTGTGATTTATGCGGTTGCTCACATTTTAAACAGCCAACAAACCTCCCCTCTAGCAAGATACAGGTTAACCCTTTCAGATAGTTCATCATCAGTTAAGATCCCCACATTCACCTTTCAGATTTTCCTAAATTGATCTAAAAATTAAATTGACCAACCCTTGACTAGTGACTCATATTTGAATGAATAAACAGACAATGGAATCACAATTTCTCTGCTTTTTTAATTTTTACATTTTTTTTTTAGAAAAACGGTAATCATTATATATATATATATTATTTACTTATTTTTTATGTATATATATATTTTTTTTAAATATTTTTTTAAATGTATTCATCTATATATGTGTTACATATGTGTATATGAAAATATTTTTTTATTATTTTTGAAATTATTTCATGAAGTGATTATTATATATATTGATGTTTCTGTTTATTGATATTTTGAAATTGATATGTTTATTTTAAGCAGGAGTTTTGTGGATGTGGACGCTCTCAGGGTGCTAGAACAGATAACACAGCTAATTAATGGGTCGGGGGATAGAATAAGATCAATGGGTGCAGCCTATACCTCTGTCTGCTCTTAAACAAGCCCCTCTCTCCAGATGAAAGCGTGTGGCGTGGAGGTACAGACTGGGACAGTAATCTGACATGGAGGTGACCTGGGATTATCTACAGACACCCAGTTTAAATCATCTCTGATTAGCTGCCTGTATGTATATATATATATATATATATATATAAAACTATTTTTTTCTCCATATCTAAGAATATACATTACATAATTACATATACCATAATTTATCTAATTTTGTTATCTACATCTAATACATCTAATTTTGTTTTCAATATCAAAGAACTTTTCAATAATAAATAAATAAATAAACAAGAACCCAGCAAGGAGGCATGACTCCCAGTGTCCCAGCTGGATGTACCTTTTATTATTATTATTATTATTATTTTTTTTTTTTTTTTAATTATTATTATTATTGCCATTTATATAGCGCCAACAGATTCCGTAGCGCTTACCTTTAATTTAATTGTCACGTTTACCTAGTTAGAAATTAGCTGAACCCCAAACTGTGCTTCGTTAACTACATTAAAAAACAAAACAAAAACTTTATGCATAAAAATTGAACATTTTTTTTTTCCACCAACATTATTTTATCCTAAATCGCCAAAGCCAATTTTCTTGCTACCATAGTTCGATGCTTAGTAAATAAACTGGTATATCTAATGTATCTTGTGATATTGACAGGTCGTACACTGTCCTCTATTAGCATTAACCAGAACACATCTTCCAGAATGAATGAGCTGCTAGAGAAATAAATGTATCAGGGGAATGTATATATCATGGCATTGCTACACTTTCCACATTTCTACTCAAAGGGAATGTATATATCATGGCATTGCTACACTTTCCACATTTCTACTCAAATATATTTAGAGTCATTTTTATTTAGAAGTCTAATAGAGATAAGCTACGAATTATTTAATATAATAATTACATATTTTCGATGTTAAAAAGAGGTATATTCATTTTCTCTAATATTTGTTGGCTATTCTGAAGATAATTTTTACATTGTCTTTTAACCATATATGCCTGTGGGATGCTTACCAAAACTAAAATTAAATACTTAACAATAATTCAAATTACAATGATTTCTATTCCATAGACAAATCTGTGTCTTTTCATTCGTTTAACCACAACGTTGAACATGGGAACTGGAGCATAAAGACTCATTGCACATTTTTTTTTCTTTTATCATTATTAATAGCAACGTTTCGGGTTATGATTCTTCTCCAGCACCTTCCGAAAATGTTATCTAAATTTTGCAAGCATGGTAATATTATTTGGTATAAGTAATAAATAAATAACAAAAAAAATAAATAAACTACATAACATATATTACCATACAAGTGAATATTTGCTGATATAAAGGTTGTGCTGGATTCGAAGATTCTGTATCTGTGCACAATAAATATAACTGGACACAGTAGCTAAAATGACTTAATCTCCCTGTATAGATGTTGTTATGGTATTTTATGGATTCCAGTATAATGTACATGCAATATTAAAATATACTATATATTATAGCAGTATGTTTATGGACGTATTAACTGTTGGATATATCACAGACCATTGTCAGTGTCCATTTCTTATAAAACACTGAGTTTCTGAGTTTTGATGATATTATTGTATTGATGAGTATAGTTTTTTTAGTTACAATGATGCTGAATGATAGAAAGGGATAGTGCAATACACAGGTTGTATTTAACCCCTATATATATAACAAATGTGGTAAAACTGAACTCCCCATGGCAGTATTCTCAAGGATTGCTCTATGTTTACAAGCAGTGAGGGTTACAGTAAGAAAGGTCACCCTGGTAGCTATCTGTAGGACATAGGGTGCAAGACATTCTTTTCCTCGGTGTGTTTATGTAACTAAATGTGCTTTATACACTGCTGCCAGGCTGATAAGAGCTGTCTCCATGCTGTGCCCCCCCTCCTCCCCTCCTCCCCTTTCAGTTACTTTAGCATCACACATGCTATATACAGTAGGTCATAGATAGGAATATCAATCAATGGATCCCCTGCCTTCCAATTCTAACAAAAAAACCTAATGAGCTCTTTAAATAGTTCAAATGCATTTCCTAACTCATACACTGATTCCAAGTTTTTTTCCCTGTGTATAAATACAGCCTGATAATGCAATGTATCACACAGTCCTAGATCAGTCAATTTACACACAATCCTAGTTCAGAGCAGATCACACACAGTCCTAGATCAGACCAGCTCACACACAGTCCTAGATCAGACCAGATCACACACAATGCTACATCAGACCAGCTCACACACAGTCCTAAATCAGGTCAGCTCACACACAGTCCTAGATCAGAACAATTCACACACAGTCCTAAATCAGGTCAGCTCACACACAGTCCTAGATCAGAACAACTCACACAGTCACATATCAGCTCAGCTCACACACAGTCCTAGATCAGAACAACTCACACAGTCACATATCAGCTCAGCTCACACACAGTCCTAGATCAGAACAACTCACACAGTCACATATCAGCTCAGCTCACACACAGACCTAAATCATCACAGCTCACACACAGTCCATGACCTGCCCAGCTGACACACAGTCCTTGATCAGCCCATCTCACATAGAGTCCTAGATTAGATCAATTTACAGTCCTAAATCAGCCATCTTGCATACTGTCATGCAGTCTGTGTCAAACAGTCCTATATTAGGCTAGCTCATAGGCAGTCCTATATTACCCAGACCACAGGCAGCCATAAACCAACCAGCTCACACACAATCATAGATTAGCCCAGCCCAGCTCACACACAGTCCTAAATCAGCCTAGCTCACACACAATCATAGATTAGCCCAGCTCACATACAGTCATAGATCAACTGAGCTCACACACAGTCCCTAATCAGCCCAGCTCACACAGAATCATAGATCAACTGAACTCACACGCAGTCATAGATCAACCCAACTCACACAGTCACAGATCAACCCAGCTCACATACAGTCCTATCTCAACCTAGCTCACACAGTCATAGATCAACCTAGCTCACACGCAGTCCTATATCAGCTCAGTCCACACACAGTCCCTAATCAGCCCACCTCACACACAGTCATAGATCAACCCAGCTCACACACAATCAAAGATCAACCCCACTCACACAGTCATAGATCAACCCAGCTCACATACAGTTTTATCTCAACCTAGCTCACACAGTCTTAGATCAACCTAGCTCACAGGCAGTCCTATATCAGCTCAGTCCACACACAGTCCCTAATCAGCCCAGCTCACACACAGTCATAGATCAACCCAACTCACACACAGTCATAGATCAACCCAGCTCACATACAGTCCTATCTAAACTCAGCTCACACAGTCATAGATCAACCCAGCTCACAGCCTCACACACAGTCCTAGATCAGCTCAGTCCACACACAGTCCCTAATCACCCCAACTCACACACAGTCATGGATCAAACAGCTCACACTCAGTCCTATTCCAGCTCATACACAGTCCTAGATCAGCCATCTTGCAAACAGCCCTAGCTCACACAGACTCCTAGATTTAATAAACTCTTCACTTCACTCTTCACTGGTGTAATTATTAAGTCTTAAATATGCCTTTTATCTGTTTAGGTTTGACTGTGTGATCATTCTCAGTGATCTAAACATGGCATATCTGTACTGGGACAGTGAAACATAAATATGTCAGACCATATCTGTATAATATCATATACTGGATTAAAAAGCAAGTGGTCCATTTAATGAAGGAAACAGCAAAATTCAGGATCAACATGTCGGTAAAAAAATTATTCTAAATGCAGACTTTTGTTTGTTTGCTTGTTTTTAAAACTGTCTCTGTTTTCTTTCACTTGCTGTTCAGTAAGTACACCGTGATGGTTTAATTCATTTAATTTAATTCATTATATGCCAAGCTATTTGGGCCATAATAGCCAAATTAAAAAACAAAACAAAAAACCCTCCAGATTTCAGTTTTCATATCAGGAATAAATCACCATTGAAATATAGACAGACTTACAATAATGTGGCAGTTTGTTACATAGATACTGGATGTTTAATATTGTTACATATTGACATTGTATATAATGTATTCGGGGCTTATTAAACAGACACAGTCAGTGAACTATCGTGTTTTGTATTTTATTTGAAAATGGTCAATATTCGCCTACTCTGTTTTATTAACGTTTTCTTAATGTCATGTCTCGATTTGAAAGCATTAATTTAAAAAAAAAAAAAGCAATGCTAAATTGAAAAGTTATATTCGTTTTTTAAATAATCAAAAACTAAAACAGGTTACATTATCTTCTCTTTTTATAGAAAAAAAATGTGATTTTCAGTTAATATTTAGATATTATTAAAATGAACTCCAATATTGCCAAAGGCACTGAGAGCTGTCCCAATCCTCTGCCTTTTGCTAAAATTAAAAAAACACATTAAAATTTATATTATTCTAAGTCATTTAGAGTCTGAGAGGACATACAGTACATGGTCTGTATCTCTTTATTTGTCCCCTTCGTGCAGTTCAAAGCACTTGTTTATTACTACATAGTACAGATCCGTGTTATTCTGCTAAAGCAATATTATATGTTTAATATTACATTAGCTAATTAACTGTGTTTTATTTTTTAAGCTTGTGGTCTGCCAGTGCCCATACATGCAATTATTTATTACATATATTAATGGAAAATGATATTTTAAGACATTAAGACACATTATGACGATTTTTTGTTATACATTTATTAAATAAAGTGAAACTCAGTGGCTTTTATTGCAAAGGAGCCCAACTAATCTAAAAAGACATACTTTACAAGTAATGATTACATTCCTGTAGTTAATCTTCATCTTAGTCTATCGTAAATAACACACGCTTATATATTGGTCCATAATGTTATAAAGAAATTTTATATTTTTGAACGCTGTAGGAAAACGAATGTATAACATCAAATGCTTTACATTATGACTACAGATGTTATGTATTCACTAAACCTATATCAAGTTGTTTATTTACTGTCAGCTTGTAGAATAATTATGGTAAAAATAAAGACCAAATCAATTGAATTGGAAAACAAAAATGTAAACGTCTCATGCAGCCAAGTCAGATCATTTCTCTAACTTTGAAATTTTGGTTACTCCAGGTTAGACCTCTGATTTACTTAGCAAAAGTTTAATATTTAACACAAAACTGAAGGCAGTACCCTATTCACAATATTATCTGAGATTTAGTTTGGCGATAAATACTTTTTTTTTTTTTTTTAAAGAGGACAATGTATATTTCCTCTTTTACAAACAGACAACAGACAACTGATATATTAAGTGGCCAAAAGTTAACTATGTAGGGTCTGTCTAATAGTGGCCAAGTTGTACTGAGTTGCTCAATGTAATATCAAATGGCAGACTTGGGGAAAAAGAATTCTCAACCACACTGCAAATCAATTAAAAAGTCTTTAAAGTAGATTGTCATTTACCTAAACTTACCTTATGTAACCAATACACACTGCTGGCAATTTGCCAATTCATTAACTAATAGTCAAATTATCTCACTGCTCATACTGATCTGTTTAAGTGATGGTTAAATGTCTAAAGATTGGGAATAATATCAATAAATTCCTAATTCATAGAGACAAAGAATAATAGGGTAACCCTTAAAAAATAAATATAATCCCATAACCAAGCCTACACATTAAGTCCCTGACACCTATAGGCCTGGGCTGTGTGCATTAACCATCCTCTAAAATAAAAGGTACATAATTTATTTCACTATTCTGATCTTAAATGAGGACAATGAAGTCTCATGTTTTTTTCCATAGAAATATGAATCCATTAAGGATAAAAAAAAAATCTTTTAATTTCTCAGGCAGCTATCAAAATGTTTGGGGTGTTCCTTTTAGAAAGCAAACTGTAGAGACCACCATTCTTAAAAAAAGACCTAGGGGCATTTGCTGATTTTTGAAAAATAATAGTTTATTTATTGTAGCAATCCTGAAATATACAATATATGATAATAGCTACATGTGAAATAAGCATTAGCTATCAAAATTACATGTTAACAATATTCCAATATTATATTGTATTATATGGTAACAATTTCTGACTTTTCAGAAAAAAAACTCCAATTGTTTGGTGATCAAACACAAAAAACAATGGTATGAGTGGTGCCCTAACTTACCCCTTATTTTTCACAGGGGTAAGTTACATTTAGTTGTTCAGTTGGGGGGGAGGGGGGTTAGGATTTTTGTGTTTGGTTTGTTGTGGCTCATAGAAGGAGTGTCCATGAGTGTTTAGAACTACTATCACTGAAAGCACTTTCTTGATTGTGTTAAGCGCCTTTTTATCACTTTTCTGACATATTTTTATGAATTTCTGACTTTGGCTGGTATTGTGTTTTCAGATTTCGCAAAACATTTTATTTCTGGAAATGCCACATAAGTCATAAAACTTTATCATCTTACAACCAAGCCCTTGAGATGTCAGTATTAACATGCCAAAATCACAAGGTTAACAAAAAAACAAAAAAAAGCCCTAAAAACAGAAGGCACTTTTGTAGACTTTTCACCTACATCACAGGTTGATGGGAATAGATAGCTAAGTGCATCAATGATTCTAATAGGTGACAATTGTGTCATTAATTTATGTTTGATTTGGACGTTGCATGGTGTATGTTTCTCTACACAGGCGTTTCAAGTATTGCTGTAGTTTTGTTGTTGTTACAGTGTTTATTTGTTCTTGAGTTCATTTTGCTCATGGTTAAATATCTAAAAATATTTTGGGGTACTGGTCAGTTGATAGAGAACAATTTTCATGTCCTTTTCAAGTTCGATGAAGTGTTTAATTCGCTAACAGATTTAGTCACTAAAGTCCAAATTTCACAAATTAAATCTGAATGGCAATACTAAGGTAAAATTATCAAACCGTTGTGAAGATGATGGCGAAATTGTTCTCTATCAACTGACCAATGAAATGCATGGCCAAGATGTTATTATAAATTTATTTTTTCAGGGTTATGGAAAAATCTAATTACCTTTTACCAGTTCACATTTTTAATTCACAAAAACAATTTACTTTTTTAATTACAAAACAGTGATGTGCAGTAAGTTAAAAGAACACCCCACACACCATAACCACTACAGTTCATGTGTACTCATATTTAAATACACACACACACTCACAAGCTCACATTCATATACAAACACACATCCATACAGACACATGCTAACATTCATAGACGCAGACTCAAATTCATATACAGACATAGAAATTATCACACACTCTCACATTCATATGCACGCACACACATATTCGCACAGACATACTCATATTTATACACTCATATTTATACACTTTTGATGTAGTGGATGTAGTATGAATAGTGAATGCAGAGTGTGTGTTTGTGTAAGGATGTAGTGTGTGTAGTGAATGCAGAGTGTGTGTTTGTGTAAGGATGTAGTGTGTATAGTGGTGTGTGTTTGTGTAAGAATGTAGTGTGTAGTGAATGCAGAGTGTGTGTTTGTGTAAGGATGTAGTGTGAGTATAGTGACTGCAGTGTGTGTTTGTGTAAGTATGCAATGTGTAGTGAACGCACAGTGTGTGTTTGTGTAAGAATGTAGTGTGTGTATAGTGACAGCAGTGTGTGTTTGTGTAAGAATGCAATGTGTAGTGAATGCACAGTGTGTGTTTGTGTAAGAATGTAGTGTGTGTATAGTGACTACAGTGTGTGTTTGCGTAAGAATGTAGTGTGTGTATAGTGACTGCTGTGTGTGTTTGTGCAAGGATGCAATGTGTAGTGAACGCACAGTGTGTGTTTATGTAAGATTGTAGCGTGTGTATAGTGACTGCGGTGTGTGTTTGTGTACGGATGCAATGTGTAGTGAATGCACAGTGTGTGTTTGTGTAAAAATGTAGTGTGTGTATAGTGACTGCAGTGTGTGTTTGTTTAAGGATGCAATGTGTAGTAAACACACAGTGTATTTGTGTAAGATTGTAGTGTGTAGATAGTGACTGCAGTGTGTGTTTGTTTAAGGATGCAATGTGTAGTAAACACACAGTGTATTTGTGTAAGATTGTAGTGTGTAGATAGTGACTGCAGTGTGTGTTTGTGTAAGGATGCAATGTGTAGTGAATGCAGTGTGTGTTTGTGTAAGAATGTAGTGTGTAGTGAATGCAGAGTGTGTTTGTGTAAGAATGTAGTGTGTTTGTATAGTGACTGCAGTGTGTGCTCTCACAGCCGCAGGACTCAGGAGAATTAGACAGAGAAGATCGGCTAGGAAGTGAAGATGGAGTGAGCTGGGCCCCCTCTGCAGTGAACAGGCAGCTAGGGGCCCGCATGTGCAAATATATATAACAGGACCGCTGGGCCCATGAAAACGGTGAAGATTGTCATGCCCTGATGGTGCCCTGGTCAGAGCAGAAGCTCCACTCCTATCTGTGAGATCTGCTTAGTTGAATTGAATATTATGTTAGCTTTAGTGCGCTGATAGTCTTAATTTTTGTAATGACAGGAGGTGAATATTTTGTTTATGTCTCTCTTTACTTGAACTCCATAATTATACACCAAAACCTTTAACCAATCAGAAACAAGGAAAAGTTAATATAAGCTCCACCCCTACAACAAAACTGCAATGTAGAACTTAAATAATTTCTTCCTAGTTTGAGAAGAATGGCCTTCAGCAGTAGGTTAGAATCTGATGATCAAACTGGAAAGATAGAAAGAAACATGCGAAAAATAAAGGTTATTCAATGGGAAAATATATAAATCACATGATCATGCATTAAAATGTCTTATGAATTAGCAAAGTAATTATAACTAAATCAATCACAGTGCTAAATAAACACATAAATAGAGGACAAAAAACAAAAATCATGAACCAGAAAAACACCCCCGATAAATACTAGAAACATAGGAAGGGCAAACAAAAGAGGAAATATTTGCCTCCTCTCATTACTAAAATGAAGATTATCAATACACTAAAGCTAACAACGCAAAAGAAGTATGAGCAAGAGAAATAAAGTTAAACTGCCTAAAAAGTATCTTGAGACCAGTCCCCCGATAGCATAATATCACAGAGAGAAGCTCCCGCCATAAAAGCTTGCAGTTTTGCAATATCCTGAACCGAATGGGCACCGAAGGAGGGATCAATCAAAAGATAACAGTCAACTAACTCCCGAGCAAGGATAGCAGTAGAGACCTGTCTGTATTGGCAAACATATGAAATGAGTAGTTGACTAGAGTTAGAGGCGTGTAACAAAGACGTAACCTCAACTTATGGGAAAGAGCAAAAAACCATGCAAAGTTTCCGAACGTTGCGAAAATAAAGGGATAAAAAAGCAACAAAAGTAACCTCTTCAGTGGAAAAGGGAAAAGCGTCAACATCAAACACAGCTGACAGGGTGATAGGTCTGCATTATGCAGCCAAGCACCTGGGAAGTGGAGGACTAGGTCCACATACTTAGGTAAAGGAAGACGAGCCAATCTGATACCCCTTAAGAAACAACAAATAAATGGATTCTGTTATACCTTTGTACCAGCAGGTCAGCTGCTGAGATAGCCGACTGTACCACATTAATAGATTAATAGGACCTACCTAATGTGACAAAACATCTAAAACTACGAGAACAGGAGCTTTAGATCGGAATTCCTTTCCAGAAATCAACAACACTAGGAAACTCACGCCGAAAGGAAACTTCTCGTGCAAGGAGTCCATAGGTTCCATAAGACATTCTTAGACATCTGCAATAGGCTGTCAACATTCCATGTTCACTGGAAAGCGCCAAAGCCAACAACTGCTCCTCCTAAATTATTGAGATATTGTACCACTGATATGTTGTACATTCACAACAAAATGCAACAAAAGGAGAAGATGATTGTCTAGACTGCGAATGCCAAACAAACCCGTTATCAATTCCAAACAATTGATGCAGTTTGTGCATTTCTGGATGTGCAAATCCCTTGACTGGGAGGTCCATAATTGTTTATAGGCAGAGTGCCTCAGGCTTTGTCTTCCAGACTCTTTCGCGCTAACACGATATTGCGTCAACAGTGTTAGAGTGATATAGTCTGGAATACAAGTGCATTCTGCAAGTAAACAAGTACGAACCTCCTGATTGAGGGATTTGCAGAAATGCACAAACTGTGCCAGATGATCTGGCAATGACCAGTCTGAAGATCTGAGATGTTGAATGGCCCTCTGGTCGAACAATGGATTACCACTCGAGTTGATCAATGGATCCTTTCCAATGACATTTTGGTAGTTTAACTGGTCCACCAGTTGATACCTTGGATTCAGCTGAATCTTCCACTGACTGCAGTATGTCACAGGTCATTTAGGACATGGGCACTCGGTCTCTAGGAGCGTGAGGAAGCACTTTAGCTAAGGCTCTTTCTACCTGTGCTGGTGAGGAGCATCAAAGAAAGAAGAAGTGCTTGGGAGGGGATGGAGCTTATATTTATTTTTCTTTGTTTTGTTGTATAACTGTGTGCTGTGGAGTCCAATAAAGAGAGAGGAAAATATGAGGTCTCCTGTCATGTGGTAAAATTGCAAAGCAGACATTGCTCTGGTGAGAAGGGGCTGCTATGTGCATCCTCGTGCAGACTGTCACCCAGGGTGGATCACCCCCACAGCCCCCAAGTTAGTATACTACTAAATTCTAGTCATGTGGCCAAGCTGTATATAAAATATATAATGATGTTAAAGACCACTGGACAAAAAAATTATATAATCATTATATTAGTGTAAATTTAATTTGGGAAATACAAAAGAACCTCATAGCTCTGTAAGAACAGCACAAAATAAATGGTAATTGGAAACCATCAGTGGTAACTGGTAAAGTGTTAAGATGGTGGGACTATGTCCCTAGCGCTGTAGCCAACATCTTCTAACCAGTGACATCTGTCCACTTTACCTTATGTAGTCAACCCCTTATGGCAATCCCCATGCAATATACAGAGCTGCATACAATACTAAGCAACCCATGCAATACTCAGAACCATAACAGAGAGATATCCATACAATACTCAAAGCTTGGTACAATACAGAGATATATATATAATACACATAACTGAGCACAATTCAGAGATACACATAAAGTACACAGGGACATGCACAATACAGAGATGTCCATACAATACAAAACAATCAGTACAGTAAGGAGATATAAATACAATACATGGAGCTGAGCGTAATACAAAAATATCCATTCAATACATAGCACTGGACAAAACCAGGGCCGGATTAACATAGGGGCTGATGGAGCTGCAGCTCCAGGCCCAGGCCCATGGAATAGGCCCACTGATTTAAAAAAAAAAAAAAAAAAAAATTTTTTCACATTTTTTTTTTCCACTCACTACTCTTAGGGATTCCACCTGGCTTTTATTTTATTGGCACAGCCAGTATTTGAGGCTGCCTGGCTGGTACCAATATTGCAGTGATACTGGCAATACAAATGCTGGTATTTTTCTCAGTATAAATGGAGATTACTCTGCAATACCAGCACTGGCCAGTAGTGGTCGCTGTATGTGGAGACAGGCAGGGATAGGAAGTTCCAGCATATCCCTCCCTGCCTATCTATACTTACTGATCTGCAGGGGTGCAGCTACAGAGAGTCCAGACAGCAACTCCCACCCTGCAGAGACAGCCTACAGCTCAGGGAAGTAAGGGATGGGGTGAAAGACTGCAAGGAGACATACACTAAGGGACATTGGGAGACATTATGACACAGCCAGTGTCCCTGGTGTCTCAGTGCCCCCTAGTCTCCCAGTGACCCCAGTCTGCCAGTGCCCCCAGTCTGCCAGTGTCTCACTGTCCCCATATCTCATAGTGCCTCCATGTCTCTCAGTGCCTCAAGTGTCACAATGTCCCCATGTCTCCAAGCTAGTGTCCCTAGTGTCTGTGGCCCTGGTGTCTCAGTGTCCCCATGTCTCCTATTGCCTCCATGTCTCAATGTCCCCTAGCCAGTGTCTCTAGTGTCTGTGTCCCCATGTCTTCAAGTGTCCACTATTTTCCCATTGTCCCCATGTGTCCCAGCCAGAGTCCCCTAGTCTCCCAGTGTCACTGGTGTCTCTGTGTCCCTAGGTCTCCCCGTCTTCCTAGTGTCCTAGTGACATAGGGACCCTGGGATACATGGGGACACAGGGAGACATGGAGCATTGAGACACTGTGATACATAGGAACACTGAGACCTGGAGTAATCGACACATGGGGGCACTGGGAGGAATCCATCTATACAGCAGAATCAAACTAAGTAGTTTTTTGGTGATTTTACAGAATTTTCTCTTATGTTACTCCTTGTGATTTACATCATGTGATGTCACCCATACATATTTAATTATGCAAATTAGTAAGGCCCGTATGTTTTTCCAAGAAAGGTGGCAACCCTAACTACTTTTCACATACTCTTACTTAAGTATGGAAACTTAAGAGGGATGTATGGGAACCAAACTTGTATGGACTGGCCGACAATGAATATAGTTAAAGGGACACTATAGTCACCAGAACAACAACAGCTTATTGAATTTGTTCTGGTGAGTAGAATGTATGTGTATGTGGTGAGTAGAATCAGTACCGTCAGGCTTTTTGCTGTAAACACTGTCTTTTCAGAGAAAATGCAGTGTTTACATTACAGCCTAGTGATTACTTCACTGGCCACTCAGATGGCTGTTAGAGATCCTTCCTGGGTCATGGCTGCCTAACATGCATCCAAACATTCAGTGTCTCCTCCCTCTGCATGCAGACACTGAACTTATCTCATAGAGATTAATTCATTCAATTCATCTCTATAAGGAGATGCTGATTGGCCAGGGCTGTGTTTGAATCATGCTGGCTCTGACCCTGATCTGCCTCTTTGTCAGTCTCAGCCAATCCTATGGGGAAGCACTGTGATTGGATCAGGCCACCACTTCTAATGATGTCAGCAGACTGTTTGTTTTTATGAGTCTAACAGCATGCAGAGTTACAGCTTCAGGCTTGAATATAGTAAGATTTTTCTATATTTATGGAGGCATGAGGGGCCCAGGGGGGCTAGATGGTGGTGTTAACACTATATGGTCATGAATTCATGTTTGTGTTCCTGACCCTATAGTGATCCTTTAAGGTAATGTTGACTTTGGTCTCTCTAACACTGTGGCATGTTCCCTTTCTTCTACACTCACTACATACAGCTTTTCTCTGTCCCAGACTATATACCAGGAGCTTCTGCCTGCTAGTAAGAAGGTAAGAAGACAAGTAGACCAGCAAGTGCTAGGAAACAGTCCTTAGAAAGCATTGAGTGAGCGCATCATTAGATGCATTTATGCCAAGCTCAGGGTGCTGTCTGCATAGTATGCCCTTAGTTGGCCAGCTGCATGATTGGAAGGCAGCCTGACATGCATTCATGCCAGGCTGGCCTTCTAATTCTTTTGGCAGACATTCCCTCTTTTTAGGCATGTTCGCCCCTTTTGGCAGGTCACGTGATTTGTGTCAGTGGCACACCCTTTTACCGTGCCCATTGACTTCCTGCTTGACTGGACACTGCTGTTAGGGGTTATGGATTTACTTGAAAGATGAAAACATAAATTAGTGAGAGATTAGCCTAGGGTATGTGTTGTCTTATAGCTGCTGTTTTCTTTCTCTCCAGCACCATCTCCATCAGATACATGATGCTTGGGAGTGTTTTACTGTTTTTGGTCGATATGATTCTGTAATTAGGCCCGTCTGTATTGTCAGCACCAGGCCCACTGGGCTCTTAATCTGGCCCTGGACAAAACACAAAGATACCCGTAAAGTACACATATTTAGCTACAATACAGAGATAGCCATACACCAGTCAGAGCCGAGTAAAATGTCACATAGCTAAGGTCACGGACACTGAGTTGCAATACAGAGATCTCCACACAGTACAATGTCTCTGTATAATGTTCCAGTTCTCCATGTCTTACTCTAGCTCTCTAGCCTCCTCTGAGTGTGTAAATCCCCCTTTTCTGAATAGTGCTCCTGCTATCTTTAGCTTTCTAGTTAATGCTGCTGCTATGATGAAACATGTCAGCTACTCTTGACTCACTGTTAACTCTCAGGACACAGTGTGTGAGCATGGTGTAAGCAGCAGGATACCGATAGACTCCTTATTACCTCTGCATCTGGAAATATGATTTATCTGTAGTGTCAATATGTAGCCAACATGTAGCGGACATGGTTAAAGGACCACTCTAGGCACCCAGACCACTTCAGCTTAATGAAGTGGTCTGGGTGCCAGGTCCAGCTAGGGTTAACCCATTTTTAAATAAACATAGCAGTTTCAGAGAAACTGCTATGTTTATTAATGGGTTAAGCCTTCCCCACTCTAGTGGCTGTCTCATTGACAGCCACTAGAGCGCATGCTTCTCACTGTGATTTTCACAGTGAGAGCACGCCAGCGTCCATAGGAAAGCATTATGAATGCTTTCCTATGTGACCGGCTGAATGCGCGCGCAGCTCTTGCCGCGCGTGCGCATTCAGCCGACGGGGCGGAACGGAGGAGGAGAGCTCTCCGCCCAGCGCTGGAAAAAGGTAAGTTAAAACCCCTTTCCAGAGCCGGGCGGGAGGGGGACCCTGAGTATGTTTTCCTGGCACTATAGTGGTCCTTTAAACAGAAGCAACAATCATTGCAGATTAAAATGATCAGAAATAGCCCAGACCTCAGAGTCACAGCCCCAGTTGTTCAATGTGGAGCATCACAACTTTTCAACTAGCCACAACATTAGTTTCTCAGGTCTCAGCTACAGAGTGACTGAACACTTTAAAAAAGATGGTGGACACGGCAGCTGAGCCTACACTGTGCAATGTGCAGTTTGAGTTATTTAAACTATTAGTGACAGGCAGCACTATGCTGACTGTCAGAAATGTCTGCCATTTTAACTCCCTTTCCCATTGTTGTCCCTGGACTTCCCTTGACATATATACATAGTTCTGCTGCCTAAAATATAACTCACTGGGAGGCTACTGAAATTCCTTCTTAAGAGAAACTAGGCATGAGTAAAACCCACTGAATCTGATTTCAAATCTATCTTGTATTTATTTATTTTGCTATCAATAGGGAGTTGGGGGTTTCTGCAGCACTGAAGCCAATTGCAGAATTAAAGAGACAAAGTTTTTTTTTAAATGTATTCATGATTTTCTTTAGCATTAGTTCACACATAGGCAATGGCTATGTAATTCTCATTTCCCCCCATATTTATTTGCTGACCCCCCTCCCTAGGATAAAAAAGTGGTCCTAGACTACGGAAAGTAATTTTTTTCCACATAAAAACAAGTGTTTCTGTGAGTAAGCACTAGAAACCATGTTTGTGGTGTTATGTAAAAAAAAAAAAAAAAAAAAAAAAGTGTTTTGCTTTGGAACCTATATGCCAATAAACGAATAAACGAATAAATAGAAACAAATGCATCCCACAAGACTAGCCATTCTCAAGCCCAGAAGACCAGTTGGCAAATCAGTAAATAAAACATTTTACCAGAATGCAGGATATTGCCTGATACTGTTAACAGGATATCAAATCATACCGCAGCATCTGCTGTTACCTTGTGTGGATGTAGCGGGGAATGTGATGCAAATAAGAACATTGGAGCCTACACTAAGTACCCCCCCAATAACGACAGACACCAGATTTGGATGAAACAAGCCACAGCATTTATTAAAACATAAGACTTTAGGACTCATCCAACACTTATTAAACTTTATCATTTAATTATAACCAGAGATAAATACATAAATAATCCATAACAACAAATAATTATTAACACCTATTGCCCTACAGACATGAGCTTCATAAACATCCTTGCCAATGAAAGAGACCATGTGCCCATGCACTAACTTGCCCACAGGGTTCTCGCCTTCTCCCCTCATCCAAACCAAATTCTCTTTTCTTTTCAGTGCTTACCACCAGTCAGCTTCTAGCTCGGTGGGCACATCCAAGTCAGTAAGTTACAAATTTTCCCTACAGAGCAGGGGAAGTTGAGACCCGACCATGTCTATAGCACCCCACTAGCTTTGACATGAACGAACATCAAACATAAAGAAGAGGGTGGGTGGGAGGGCAATTGTTTGCTGGCCCATCTCACTAGAGGCACTGGGGTAGGATGATCCCTACACCACTCCCAAACACATAACCACTCCTATACACACTTACAACCAATCACAAGCATCCATCCCCACACTCATACATGTGCCCTTGTCTGCTTACCTGGGCTATCTCCCCAGGGCCTAGATGATGGGTAGACAACCTTTGGCACTCCTGATGCTGTGGACTACATAATACTCTTAAAGCAGTAATACTGGCAAAGCATCAAGGGAGATGTAGTCCACAACATCTGGAGTGCAAAGGTTGTCTACCCCTGACCTAGACTATAAAGCTCTCAGCAAAAGAATAGCATCAGATAGAAGTGTGAATTGGACCAGCTATTATACTTAATATTGAATATTGAATCGGATTACCTATAGCATCCAGTGTCAGGTACATCTTCCATAGGAAAACCTTTCCATGCAATATTCGCTATAATATACACCAATGTTTGCTATTTCTGAGCCTTTCATAACCTCTCAGGTAGCAAGGTGAATTGGCTTTTCACATGAGTTACCAAATTTGATTTATTCAAATAATTTAAATTGCAGAAATTCTTTGGCTCAGCGTTACAAGCTTTTATTCAGTACAATATGTCTGAATATTTTATGTTTTGATATGTCATTCCAATCTCAACCTTAATAAAAATAAAATGTCATTAATAATAGCTACACAAGAACCACTTGTTTTTGTGCTACTGGGGCAAGAAAGCATTTGCAATTTGTACCAATTTTAATGTTCTTACAAAATGTTTAAGTATAATTTTGATCATTATACTGCATTGCCAATATTGCTCAAACTGCTTATTTTTAATGTAACCAACCCTAGATTCCTTGAACACTCTCTTATCTAGACTAGTTACCCTACTGTTTATTAACCAGATGTCAGGGGTATTTCAGACCACCCTAAACAGCCTAATCCATGCCATTTGACAGACACTGGAGACAGGGTAATAGTTCATCATTGCATAAAGGCAAGACTCTTGTCTAAAATCTCTTTAGACACCCTGCTAACAGCTTCACATACTACATGTAAAATCCCTATATAGTGTGTGAAGAAATATTAATGTTATATAGATAACATAATATGTTTCTTTCCTGCTTTGTATAAACCTAATATTGATAATTCCTCTGTAAGTCTTTTTTAATTGAAAGATTATGGAGTAAAGAATATGGACAAAATTATTCTACTTAAAATATGTTAATATATACAGCTAAATAAAAAGAAAAGATGCATAATAATTTGGGGAGTATCTATTCTTCATCACCTCATATCTCTAAAAAGAGAACCATTGTAACACTGAATATAGTACTCAAAATAAGAATTTGACTATGGCAATGAGTTTTGATGCCACTTGACGCCAGTGAGTTCAAACATTGTTCCACACCTCCCTGGTCTGTCCCTCTACATTGTGCAGCGGGGGCTTTAAATTAAGTCATAAATTCCACACTGAATTGCAGGAATGGGGAACAAAGAGTTAGGAAGGACTATGGTCAAATATAATAGCATGTCTGTAGGCCAGTGGCGTACTAAAGAGGGTCGTGGGGGGGCGGTCTGTCCTGTGTGCTACTTACTAGGGGGTGTCAATACCAGGTCACACATAGAGGTGCCAGCAGCCGCAGAACTTGAAAACCGGACGCAAGTAACTAAGTGAGGGTGGAGCTAAATCGTCAGTGGAGGCGAAGCTAAATCGGCAGCTGGGGCATAGCTAAACACAAAGTTCCTGCTTCCCCAACTACCTAAGTTAATGCTATTGTAACAAATTACATTTCTCCCCTCCCCTTACCTCTTGTGTCACCACACCCCACTCCCTCTAGTATGTAAGCTAATTCAGTAATGCCCTCAATCCCTCTATTCCTGTGCGTCCAACAAGTCTGGTCACAAATACTTATCTGTTAGTCCACCCATTGTACAGCGCTGTGGAATTTGTTGGCGCTTTATAAATAAGATAAGATAGAAAAAAAATGTTCACTTGGAAGTATGATCCAGTGAAAAATATAGGAACAAATAAACTTTCTATCAAGTCTTGTGAGCTATACCGTAAAGTTAAAAACTGCCAACAAATAAATATGTGCAAAGTGAAAAAAACATTGTTAAAAAGTAAAATATTTCTATCCCTTGGATTTGTGTAGGAGTCAATGCGATTGGCTGGATGTTGCAAACATTACACAGCTACATTTATCTGACGTTACAGTAATAAATGGAGCTCACTCAAAGCAAAGGTGGATTAATTTATTTGAAATTGTAAAAAAAAGAAAACGCATACATATGAGGTTAAAATCACTGTAGAAGAAAGTATGACTCACAACTAATTATTAGCACCACACAAGGTAAGGGATAAAAGGTGGGAGATTTGTATCCCCTCCTCGATTCTATGGGATGCCTACTAGTTGCTTAGTGGCCCCTTGCACACTGTACATAGTTTAGGGAAGGGTAAAGAGTAACAATTCTAATTCTGTCCTTTGTTGAATAATAGCCCCCAAGACTGAGCTGATTTCATTTTGATTATTTTTCACAAAATGTCCCTGACCTCAGCTCACGGAGCAAACAGAGGTGTTACTTGACATGAACCTTTCGGGTAGAGAATACCAAAGATTCCATTATTGAAGATCTCATCATTTTTTTAAACGTCAGAATGTGTATGGATGAGTGAAAATGTTTGCAATTCCTATTCATTAGTTAATGGTCAGCTTGGATATTTCATTCTCGACTCTTTCATGAACAGAGGCTCAAATATGTCCAATTTTATTTTATATATTGTCTAATTATTCACAAACAAAGGTATTCAATAAACTCCAAACTCTTGTGAATGACAGAATTAAGACAAATAAAAGCTTTTACTGTACCAGGGTGCAAACAATCTGATCAGTATTTCCTAAAGCCTAAATTTTCCTATTTCGATATCAATTTGTTACATCTCAAAATTTTTGTGAATGACTTATTCAAGTGTGAATTGTTGGAAATTCAAATGGAATTCACAGTAAATTTTAAATATTAGGTCACAATTTTCAATTGGAAAAGTTTTCCCAGAAACATATGTTTTAGTTCAGTCGTTATGTCCTAAAATGTACAATTAACTTTAAAGTTACAACAATGCACATTTTAATGAATAACTCTGTCTATATCTGTAAGTTTTGCACAGTCTCTAGAACCTCGGTAATCTATTACAGTAAAGATAGCTTTAACAGTAAATGTTTTCACCATAGAAACAAAATCATTAAAGAAAACCTGTGCAGACCATAACAACTTCATCAGAATGAAGTTGTTGTGGTGCCAGGAGTTCCCTGGCGTCAGCTTACCTTCAGGGGTTAAAGCATTAACAAACTGTTTAATCCCAAAGTGTTAAATCCGGTGCCAGTGAGCTTTGCCCCTCTCCTCTTGCTTGAGAAAAATACACGTTTCTCATTCAGTTTTGTAAATGGGGAGGACTGATTGGCTTAGCACGTCAGCTGCAACCCTGTCTTAGGCTGTCCAAGGCGTCCTGATTCAGGCTATTGAGAAAAGCGGAAATAGAGGGGCAGCAATAACCAGCACTGTATTCAGTAGTTTTGGGGTTATATCGTTTGTCAAATGTAAAGCCAACACCAGTGACCTCCTGGCACAATAACAACTTAATTCTAATTTAGAAGTGATGGTGTCCGAAGTTTCATTTTATTTAATATATCATTGTTTAGTTACTATCTTCCTACATTTTTTTATGCTTTTTAGCAATTCATACTCCATATTGTTCTCGTTTTAAATATATGGCAGCATATTAACGCAGCACGTGCATAAAAAGCCTATACATGGATTTCCAAATAACCAAAAATAACTACAAAAATACAGTAGAAAGTGTTCTTTTGCATACCCTATAATCAACAGCATGGTGCAGGCTGGCTGTTCTGTCAATTAACTTTATCCCATTAGGTGACATCATATCTTCAACAGGTTGCCTTCAAAACAACAAGGCTGTTGTTTAAGATGCCATTTTTTTTCTGGCCTGTGAAACAAGGAGAGTTTACTTTCCATACTAAGCCGCGGGCTTTACAAGCAGCCCTAACAATCCAGGTACTGTTACTATGGTACCTATTAAAATAAAGCATTTATTTGCACAATACTGAACAGGTTAAAGTCACTTTCAAGAGTCCTGTTTCTAAATTGGCATGCTTTTATTGCATGTTTTTTCAATAAATAGTTGAAGTTTGCATGTAGTTATTTCAGTGAAGTTGTAAGAAAGTTCAAGTGACATTTGGTGAAATTGTTCACCAGAAGAATAACCTTTACTTGGTTTTAACATTTGTCAAAATCTAAGAACAACTCGAATATCTAAAAGTAAAACGTAAAAGACTATTTAAAATGTAATGAGCATGAAATAGCTTATTGTAGTGGTTTCTCTATATTTAGAACTAATGATTAAAAGTCTACACAAAAGTAAATAAAAATACATTCTACAGCTAAATATATATAATTTGCAATACTGTTTTCCATCCAGCACAACACACTGTTTAGTAAATAGACTTTTATGTAAACAGTAACCTAGAGAAATAATGGACGCATTATTAAGGGATTACTACGAAATATTTGCAGGGAGGTACAAAAAAAAAAAGTTGTTTTATATTTACAATTTCTATGATGCTTTGACAGCCTGCGTAATTAAACATTATAAGATATGGATTTGTATAACAGATCTCCCTGGTGTATATTTTGGCAAATGTGATGTACAACATGCAGTTGTATGGTAGCATATTTAAGCAAACATAGCAATGCATTACTTACATTAATAGACATTGCTTGTCTTATGCCTTTAGAACTTAGTACCTACCATCCTACATCCAACCTCTTGTATATGATTTTGATAATTTAAATCTCTGGTTGGAAAGTTTAATACATGAGCTACATGCAACTTTAGGTAAGCAGAAATGTTTGCAATGTAATGTTTGGAGGGTTTAAATGGGCATTGTAGGCACTTTAACTGCTAGATCTCTTTGAAGTGGTTATAGTGTCTGAAATTTGAAGTGGTTATAGTGTCTGGAGCCTAGTACCATTCTTCCATTCAGAGTTACAAATTCTAATGTTTCAAAAGCGGGTCCCCTGCAGCCCATCCTCTTTGTGCTGCTTCGGCTAGTGGGGAAGCATTAGGCTGAGCAGCAATGGGTATTTGTGACTGGCTGTGAGTGTCAGCTGACTGCTTTCAGCCTATTACAGCACCCATTGCTGGTATAAAATGGTATGGCTAGAAGGAAGTGTGTAATCTTTGCCTTAGTCATATCTCCATTCGGGGCCATCATGTGGGTGGTAGGGGACTATTGTTTAGTGTTAAACTTCTCAAAATGGTTTAACACTTAATGGAAGGATAGTGCAAGGGACTCCAAGCTATAACCAATTCAGTGACAAGAAATGATTGCAGTAACTATAGTGTCACTTTAAGTAAACATCTATATGCACTACACATCATGGATTCTGGCTCAAGAAAAAAAAAAGCTCTGAATATGATTTGAAAGAGATGAGATGGGGCAGTGTAAAGCCAATAGTAGTTACTCCTTACTAGAATTACAGTAATTAGTTGTTGTATTAGAAATCCCAACACTGGACTAGTACCTGTATTAAGAGCAGTGAGAGTGATAGATAGTTACTTACTTCGAAGTTCGCATCCCACAGAAACTCATAGTCAAACCAATGAGTAATTGAGCTTTCTGCTACTGCAGAAACCCCAGTGAAATTAATTATGTTTCTGGAATCCTATGCAAACTGTTCCAATTCAAGAACTGATAGATCTATATTGTTTTTACTAGGGTTTATATTTCATATGATTTGCATGTTGTGGCCTTAACAAAGGTAATACTTTGGATGGTTTTTGGTTCAAAGCCCTACTGGGAGATAAACTGCTGCTCTGGGGGTAAGTTAAATTTACACATTTATGAGACACATATTTAGGATTTATAATGATAAAGTGAACTTCTTCATTATTAGGTTTGTGCTTCTGTGGCTGAGAATATAATTTTTCTGTGAAAAAGCTTGAAAATGGTTTGACAAATGTCAAGGGCCACTCACTTCCTAGAAGAACAACTTGTAGTGATTATGGTGTTTGGTTGTGTCCCTTTAATAGACGCTAATACCTTGTGCTTTTCGAGTCATCATTTATGGTAGCCATTATAATATTTTTGTCTACAGTAGTTTTGCACTTTTATTTCCATTAGTAGAATGATGAAGGCAGCACCCATGGTTTAGAACTCTACCAATCTATACCCCACTAAGCAGCTGTTTTTCCACTCTTTTATAACGTCAGGACACATCTTTATCTTGTGTCTACCTGTATTTTATCTCTAACAGTTATTTGATTTTTTTATGAAACCACTGCTTTTAAATTGAAATATTTTTTTTTTTTTGTAAATATATTTTTATTTGATATAAAGGTTGCCTCGTTCAAATATTCGAGGAGAAGAAGATGATGAACATGCAAACAAAAATTGGTGACGCGCAGGTCACATTGTAACGTTGGAAACAGTGGTTTGTTGGACTCGCAGGTCCCGTGAAACATATTCATTAGGTAGTATTTTCACTTGGTGCGATATATGAGGGTATGGACCTACAGGTCCCCACATACCTAGAGTTAGTGCCCGCGTCAAGAGGTTTCGGGTCGCGTCGTGTATCAATGCTTGTTTGTGTGCTCGTGCCAGCGGCACGCCTGTCCTTAGGTGGTAGGTAGAGTAACGGTATAGTCGCCTTTGTGGCAAGTGCAGAGGTGATTGTATCTCGCAGGCTTCTGCGTGATGCCGCCTTCTAAGAGGTCGGGGGAAACGTTGTCCAACTTGTGGTGTAGGAGTCGAAGTTATAGTGAGTTTTCGTCACAGTTCGTGCGGTCTGTAGGGGCGTGTGTGTATTGTGAGGGTTCTGTCTGTCGGGGGTCGGGTTACTGTCGGGGTATGTCTTCGTCTGCGGTCGCTTGGTCCACGTATCTGAGTCTGTGCGCGAAGTCGTCTTTGGAGGTCGTCAGGAGCCAGTGTGACCAGATTTCTAGATATTTGTCAGAGGCGTTAGTGGCGCACATGTTAAGTTCTTCCACTGCCCTAAGCTCTTCCATTTGGGCAAACCAAGTAGTCAGTGGGGGTGTGACTGTCTGCTTCCAGAATTGTGGGAGCACCTGTTTGGCTACATTTAACATTCGTATGGTTAGTGATTTCTTGTATCGTGATCTGGGGGTCTTCGTGTGGTGTAGGAGCATGGCCTCGGGTAGGAAGGGTGGTGGTGCATCAGAAAATGTTTGGAGGAAACCGTGTATGCCTTTCCAGAAGGGTCGGATGGCCTCACAGTCCCACCATAGGTGGAGAGTGGTGCCTATGCCAGTATTGCATCTCCAGCAAAGGTCTGAGTTGTCTGGGTTGATAGCGTGGAGTGTGGTCGGGGTACAGTACCAATTTGTAAGGAGCTTAAATGCCGTTTCCTGTGTCTTGCTGAAGACTGAGCAGTGATGCGTTAAGTAGCACATCTTCTCCCAGTCTCCAGCAGTAAATGTTTTACCTAGTGTCTGTTCCCATTTCCCCATGAACTTCGGTAGCTCTGTTAGGGTTTCCCTCTGGAGTGTAGAGTATATGAGTGAGATCCCGTGTGGTTGGGGGTCTGGGTCCATGCATAGTCGTTTGAACGTGGTGGGATCTCTTGTCAGGGCTGTGCCACCTGGGAGTGTGCGTACATAACTTCTTAGTTGTCTATATTTGAGGTGATGTAGTAGGGTAGGAGTGGTTCCTTCTAGAAGGTTAGGGAGTGTTTTGCAGTCAGTCCCGTCGAGTAGATGGTATAGTTTGGGGTCGTCATGGTGTAGTAGATCTCTGAATGCGTTGGGGTCGGAGCCTGGGGGGAAGTCATCGTTGTGGGTCAAAGGGAGGAGGGGGGACGGGTACGGCGCCAATCTGTACCTTTTTGCCGCCCCCCTCCACACCTGTAGTGTCGCTGCCGTGTAGGGCGAGCAATGTCCTCCCCTTCCCCCCCCCGCTTGCCATGGCAGGGTGGACAGTGGCCTCCCAGCCTCCGCTTCCTCCACGTCTTTCCACATTTTGGGCGCCTTCCCTTTTGACCACTCCATGACTCTTTGGAGGTGGCAGGATTCATAGTACAGGGTAAGGTCTGGCATAGCCAGGCCTCCCCTGTCCTTAGGTAATGTCAGCGTGGACATCTTAACCCTCGGTCTGCGATGGTTCCAGACATATTTTCCCATTGCTTGTCTCAGGGTGGCAAAGAAGTGCCTGGGGATAGTGGTGGGGAGGGCCTGCATAAGGTAAAGTAGGCGCGGGAGGAAATTCATTTTTATCACTTGGATCCTGCCTAACCAGGAGATATGTGGGAATGCCCAGTCTGATAGGTCTCGTTTAAATCTGTCTAATAGTGGGGCAAAGTTTTCTTTGTAAAGGTCTGTGGTCTTCTTAGTCAGCCATGTACCAAGGTATTGGATCTTACGGTCCGCCCATTGGAACGTGTGGCTCTGTCTCAGTGGTGTGGCCCTGGTCTCGGACACGCTGACATTCAGGATGTAGGACTTCGAAAAATTGATTTTAAGGTTGGAGATGGCCCCGTATTCCCTGAACGCTTTCAATATGTTTGGTAACGTGATTTCAGGGTTGGTGACAAAGAACAGGAGGTCATCGGCGTATGCCGCTACCTTATGTTGTGTGCCTCCCTTTGTGATGCCCCTTATGTCTATGTCGTGCCGCACGTGAGCCAGGAAGGGCTCAAGTGCCAGCACGAATAGCAAGGGGGACAGAGGGCATCCCTGCCTTGTGCCGTTGTGTATCGTCAGCTCTTGTGTCACTGCGCCGTTGACGATGACGTGTGCCGTGGGTCCGTCGTATAGTGCCTCAACCCAGCTTCTGAAGTGTGGTCCCAGACCTATGTGATTCAGTGTATGGAACATATATTGCCAGTTAACCCTATCGAAGGCCTTCTCCGCGTCCGTGGATAGCAAGAGAAGGCCTCCATCGTTATCACCCCGGCTGTGTATAAGGGTCAGTGCCCTGATTGTATTATCTCTTGCCTCGCGGCCCATGACGAATCCCACCTGGTCCGGGTGTATCAAGCGTGGTATGTGGGTTTGGAGGCGTGTGGCAAGAATTTTCGCCAGCAATTTGACATCGCCATTGATCAATGAGATCGGTCTGAAGTTACCGCAGTATTCCCTGTCTTTGTCCCCCTTTGGGATAAGTGTGATGTGGGCAGTCAGTGACTGTTTAGGGAGTCGATGGCCCTCTCGTAGTGCGTTTAGGGCGTCTAGTAGGGGGGCGTAGAGGTGGTCAGCAAACGTTGTATAGTACTTCAATGGTAGTCCGTCTGGGCCCGGGCTTTTGCCTGTCTTTGTCATTTTGATGGCCAAGGCCAATTCGTCCATTGAGATGGGTTCGTCCAGTTGGGTAGTGGTGTCGTCGTCTAGCGTCGGGAGGGGGTGTGTCATCAAGTATTTAGAGATTTTCGCCCGAAGGTTTTCCTTCGCCTTGTCCGTTTGGGGCTGTGGGAGGGCGTATAGGTCAGAGTAATATCCCCGTAGTATGTCTGCGATTTTAGAGGGCAGGCGTTGCAGGGTGCCACTAGTGTCCCTCATTTTGTCAATATATGTCGTCTGTCTTTTTTTGGCGAGCATTCTGGCCAGTAGCCTCCCGCTCTTGTTGCCATGGAGTAGGAAGAAGGCTTTATGCCTAACCACCTCTCTGTGGTGCTTTCTGTGGAGGAGGCTGGTCAGCTCACGCCGTAATTGTAGCAATGTCGACTGATGTGCCTGGTGTTGTGCGGTTTTGTTGAGGGAGTCTAGGCTTTGTATTTCTGTCAATAGCTCCTTCATTCGGCAGTCCGCCTGCCTTTTGAGGGTGGCGCTCTGTCTGATGAAGTGTCCGCGGACTACGCTTTTATGCGCCTCCCATCTAATGGTCGGCGATGTGTGTTCCGTCGTGTTCGTCTCAAAGTATTCCTTGAGTTTGTCCCCTATGTCCGTTGTTAGGTCTGGTCTGGTGAGGAGGTAGTCGTTAAGCCTCCACTTAGTGGTTCTCGGTCTGTAGAGGGGGGATGCGAGTGTCAGGGTCACGGGGGCGTGGTCTGACCAGGTCGCTGTTCCGTGGTCCGCATTACGTGTTAGGGGTAGGTGGTAGTGCGTAGTAAAGACATAGTCCAGTCTGGTGTATGTGTTGTGTGGGTGTGAGAAGAAGGTGTAATCTTTCTCATCGGGGTGGTGTGCCCTCCAGCAATCTACCAGTTTATGGCGAGTCAGAAGTGCGTTGATTTGGTTGAGGTGTTGTGTCGGTATGTGGGAGGTGCCGGAGGATGTGTCCCAGCGTGGATGTAGTGCGACATTCAGGTCGCCCCCCACCACAAGAATCCCCTCTGCGAAAGATTGCAGCTTTTTAAGTGTAGTCGCAAGGAACCTATGCTGCCTATGATTCGGGGCATATATATTCGCGATGGTATATGTCTGACCCGCTATTGTGCCCCTTATGGATAGGTATCTGCCTTCCCTGTCCGTCATCTGACCACTCTCTTCAAAGGGAATTCGTTTGTTGATTAGGATGGCTGTACCCCTGGATTTCCCTGCGTGGTAATCACTGTAATACCCCGTCGGGAAGTGGTGGTTAGTCAGTTTCGGTCTGCAGCCTTCCCTAAAGTGTGTCTCTTGTATCAGTACGATGGATGCTCTGTTGGCGTGGAAGTCTCTCAGCGCCCCAGAGCGTCTCTCTGGTTTGTTGAGGCCTCTGGCATTGATAGAGAGGATGGTGAGGTCGTCTGGTGTGAGGGCCATTTGCGTCTCGGCGGGGTGGTGGGTGTGCCTGTAGGTCCGTGCGTCTCAGTCTGGTCTTAGGTGTCTTGGGGGTGGTACGTCAGGTGGGTCCGTCTGAGTGGGGTTGGTGGGTAAGGGAAACGGTGGGAACGGGAAGTGCGTGTGTGTGGGGTCTCGTCCCCTGTGGGCGACAAGGAGGAATTAGCGACGGGGAGTGGGAGGTCCGCGGTCTCCTACGGTCCGCGGATTCCCCTCACCTTTTAAGAGTCGCTGTGTCCTACCGGGTCGTAGGAGGAGGTAAGAGGAGTCCAGGTGGGGCCAGCCCTCCCTGGGTCTGTGTGGTCGGCAAATACCTGAGAGTAGTGTCTCGGTCTCTGCTCGTCGGGTCCCTGTGAGATCCCTGGTCAGCTCTAGGTCGTGGAAATCGTGTTGGTGATATGATCCTCATCAGTGTGGTTCCAGGTCATGTGGCCATGGGCTGGCCGTGAGTGTCCGCCATGTGAGTGGGCAGGTGTGGGGCATCGTAACTGTGCATAAAAACAATAGCAATAACATGTAAACTTATACAGATATCAACAGCGTATTCCGCGTTACTGGCACCCTTGTCAGAGGGCACGGGCGGCTGCACCCTGTTCCCCGGTCCCCACCCCGGTGAGCACATCCCCACCTCTGGTCAGGACCCCAATCCCCCCTGGGGCAACCCCCTCGTCTCTAAGTCTCCTCAGTTGCTCCTCGTCGCGTTGGTGTCTAGTTAAGTCAGTAGGCGGGGTACATGGCATGAGGGCTGAGTTGATCAGTACTTGTGGGTCTCGGGGGTGGAGGTCAAGTTCGTTTTGCCCGGTCTCCTAGCATGTCCCCTCTCCCTCCCCACGGGTTATGTGCGTTCTTGGGCTGTGGGTAAGTGAGTGAGTGAGCCCCGCCGGTGGGGCCCCCCGCCTGCTCGCTCGGGTCATCACAGGTCTATCAGGGCCCCAGCGGCGTGGCCCAGTCGGAGTGGGTCCCCGCCCGTGTGGTCAGGGTAGGCCGCCCCCCGTCTGTTTCTCAGGGCATTCCCGCCCGACTCTAGGAGCATCTCTCCCCTGCGCCATCCCCCACCTGAGCCCTGTCTGCCCACATATGCCCCCCCTCCCCATGGGGACTCCCCGGACCCCCCTGTCAATGGAGGATGGCCTGGGCTTCACGCAGGAAATCAGTGCAGTAAATGGATGCCCCGGTATTCCCCTAGCCCCCTGCCCCCCCTCCCGCATTTGTCAATTACCACATAGCGGCCAATGTAGGCCTCTGAAGGATAGCAAAGGGTTAGAGTCTCGGATGAGGAGAGTGACCCAAGGGGTGCTACTTGCGGATATGCGCTGCGGTCGTCTCCAGGTCACTTATGCCGCAGTCCCTGAAAGCCTGGTGGCTTGCTGGCGGGATCCCCTGCTTCTGCGGGGCAGGGATGAGGGTCCTCGTGTGTCGGAGTTCATCATGTAAAAAGCAGTAGGGTCCGGCCATGTCATATGGATGGGAGGGAGGTTCAGCTCCACAATTAAGTCGTTTAGATCTTCAGGGTGACGGACCGTGAAAGTGCCCTCCGCAGTGATGGCCTGCAGCCCAGTCGGGAAATTCCATCGGTATCGAATCTTTCGTGTTTGGAGAGCTCTGGTAAGGGGCCTCATCGCCCTCCGGTAGGCCAAGGTGGCCGGGGAGAGGTCGGGGTAAAGCTGCACCTCCACGCCGTTTAGTACGATCCGCTCCAGTCCGCGTGCTTTGCGCAGTATGTCTTCCTTAAGTTGGAAGTCTGCCAGGCAGCAGACCGCGTCTCTAGGGGGAGCCTCCGGCAGGCCTCTCGGTCATAGCGCCCGGTGGGCCCTGATAAAATCAATCTTGGTGGGTGCTGGGCGGCCCAATATTTTATTAAACAGTTCCTTGAGAGTGTCCAGAATCGGCGTGGATTGGTCAGTGTCCTCTGGGATGCCTCTCACCCGAATATTTTGGCGTCGGCCACGATTGTCTAGGTCTTCCAGGTGTAGGGCCATTTGCCGCATCAGAGCAGTATGGCTCTGCATGGTGGTCGTTGTGGCAGACTGCGTGGATGTCAGGTGGTCGCAGTCCGCTTCCAGCTGGGCCACCTTGGTGTGGAGGCCTTGAATGTCTTCCCTGAGGGAGTGCAGTTCCGCTGTAATGGAGGACCGCAATTCAGTGTTGGCCTCCTTGAGGTCTTGTTTCGTCGGGAGTGCCTTTATGAGTTGCACCCATTCAGGTTGGGGGTCCAGGGGTGTCTGGGTTGGCGGTGTCTGGCGGTCGCCACGTGGTGATGCTGGGCGGGAGGCGCCGGGCGCCTCTGAATCGTTGGAGGCCTGAGATGCCGTGTCGGCGTGGGACAGCAGGTATTGCCGCATGGAGGAGGGAGCGGTGCTTTTCGGCGTGTCGGCGGACTTGGCAGAGTGCGATGCCCGGTGAGTTTTGCCCATGGTCTCTCCGGTGGTAGTGCTGGGATGAGGATTTTAGCCGAGCTTGCTGGGGAGCTCCGGGTTTACGCCGCCATCTTCCTCGGCCTCCAAGCCACGCCCCCTAAATTGAAATATTAACACCCTCATCTACTCTGAAGAAGCTGTGTAATGCTAGATTCTGAGTTAGCAGAACCTTTTCAGCAAAGGATGGGGATTTTTGTGGCTTTTCACCATACCCATAATACAAAACTATCTTTCTCTCTTCCTGGCAGCAGCCCAGCTTGAAGAGGAGTTACTCAGCAGCATTTTCAAATCCATCAGCACCAACGTGTAAATATCCAGTAACATTAACAATTAGATATTTAGGATTTGCATTTACAATTTCACCCTTTTTCTACGCTTTGAAGTTCTAGTGGATCTCACTTCCCTTGGTTGAGGTATATATTACATTTCCTCAGTCAGAGTAGCAGTCCACACATTCTTATTGTGTAACTGAACCTTGAGTTCCATATGAAGGAACCTTCAGCATACTGTAATGTCACTTCCTGTTTATGGAACATGTTCTTACCATGAACCTACTTCCTGTCAAAGGGAAATGCATACCCTTCATAGGGAGTCCCCTTATTTATTCCTTTTTAGAAACCTTGCACTAACAGTAGTACGTATTTTTAAATTCAAACACAATATCACTTTCCCTGAAATATGTTTATTGTTGCTGTAAACGTCCTGTATGTGTATGTACGCATATCTTTCTTCAATTTCCAAAATGTATGCATTAACCAATATAACTCTGCATATCCTATTTTAACCTTCTAAGGACAAAGGATCTTTTGAAAATGCAAATTATTTGTGACACAACGTGGAAATTTTGGCACTTTTGCCATATGTTCACTCTAACACAATTTCACCCTTTCTGTTTAAGAGCACCCATGTACAGGATTGCCAGATCCAACATGTGTTCAGGGACACATATCACATATATATATTAGGGGCAGCACATGAAAAGGGTTTCCATGTAGCATGTAGAATTCAGAAGAAGGTGTACAAGAACACTACAGGGTCAGAAACACAAACATGTATTTGTGACCCAATAGTGTTAAAAACACTATGTAGTCCCACCGATCCTTCCACTGATAAAATATTACCTTTATTCTAGTCTGCTGGTACTGGCTCTGTCCATGATCTGCCTCCTTGGCTGACATCATCAGAAGTGATGTTCTAAGCTGATCACAATGCTTTCATATAGGCTGAGATTGTAAATTCTGATTATCTCAGCCAAGTAGGCTGGCCAGGTGTCGCAGCCAAATGCCGCCCTGGCTAATCAGCATCTCCTCATTGAGATGCATTGAAACACTGCATCTCTATGAGGAAAGTTCAGTGTCTCCATGCAGAGGATGGAGAAATTGAATGGCAGTCATACTGTGCAGCACTGCCCCAGGAAGCACCTCTAGTAACTATTTGAGGAGGGGCAACTGGAGGTGTCCCTAGGCTGTAATGTAAACACTGCCTTTTCTCTGAAAAGACAGTATTTACTGCAAAAAGCCTGCAGGGCTTCATGGGGCATCTCCTTTAACAATCTGGTTCATTCATAATCTCTAAAACTTTACTTGAAAGCCACCATATCAGCACCACTGTAACAGAAGTATTCCCATCTCTGTGTCAATGAAATAGGAAAGGATTTATGAAAATGTGACCTTGGCCACTGTTTTGGACTAACATGTCCTGATATTTGCATAATACTTTGTGACTACTAGACAGTGTCCTTCTGTGTGTTATGTCTATTGCAGGTTTTGCAGTGCTCTGGTTACGATTACATTCACAAAAGATCTCAGGTTTATGAAATGAAAATTCTTTATTATAACGTATTCTCTAGTATAGCTGAGAATGGTTGAATAATTACTTGCAAATTTTATTCTGTTATCATTTGTGATTAAATCATAATATAAGGTTCATTTTTAAATTTTTTATGTCTGTCCATTCATTTGTATGTAGGTCCATCTATCTAGTAAACAAAGCAACACATGGTAAACAATTAATATTTTTTTCTTTTCTAAAATAATCTTGGCCGTAATGTGTTTTCCCAAGATTAATTCCCGAACAGAGACTCTGTTGAATTCAAAGTTGATTCAAATGATAAGATTTAGGGCAATCTGTAATTTACTGTGTGAATGTTTGATACAAGCTGATATTGCCTATTTATACTTTATTACTTACCTGCATAAATAAATAATTAAATAAAAAGATTTAGGGCAATCTGAAAACGTAACTACAAGATCAACGTGTATTGCCAAATCCACAATTTAACCACAAATAAGCATGTAATCCCGATTTCACAGATTAACCACCAGACAAAAGTGTAAAGCTTAATATACCACATGTTAAGCACCAGATGTGCACGCTGTAATTTAATTAGATGCACAACCAATAAAATAACATGATACTGCATAATACAGGCATATATGTAAGCATACAGTCAAATGCTCACAAAACATATATTAAAGGTACAACACTACAATTTAACAAAAAATAAGTAACACTAAATTAAACACCAAAGTAGTGCAAACCTAAATCTATAAATCATCTAAAAGCAAACATATTGCCTACTCACAATCTCATATTTGTATGAATATTTAACCCCTTAAGGACGGAGCCAAATGTACACGTTGTTAACAAAACAAAATGTAAACAAAACCTGGCATTTGCGCTTTATGTATATAGATATATATATTATTTCGTTCTACGTGTATTTTGATATATATATATATATATTAATTTCACAATACAGTTAGAACGAAATAACACACATCTATATATTTTTTAATTATTTATTTTTAATTATTTTTTTAATTTTATTTTTTAACGTATTTACATTTTAATTTTTTTAATAATATATATAAATATATATATAACAATAATTATATATATATTTAATCAGTATCAGTCTACGTGTAATTTGATATTAATATATATATATAATTATATATATATTAATAGTAAAATACACCTAGACGGTGTACATGTGTGTATGTATATGTGTATATATATACTTAGATCATATATATATAATATATATATATGATCTAAGTATATATAATTTTTTTTTTACACTGATTAACTTATTTTAATTTTATTTTCAGCCAGCAGGGGGACCACCTGTAATTACAGGCAGCCCCCCTGCTGGCAATACAGAAGCCAGCTATCCCCGGCCATGTGATTGTGGGGTCCTCGCTAGGACCCCACTCTCACACGGCCGGGGGGCTTCCTGGAAGACGGCCGTGCCGCGGGGGGCTCCCTGGGAGTCCCCCCCACCACGATCGCCGGCGTGGGACCGCGACCGGGTAAGTACCGAAAGACCGGAGGGCGTACTATTACGCCCGGCGGCGTTTAGAGCCGCCTATTAGAGGGCGTAATAGTACGCCCTCCGGTCTAAAGGGGTTAAAGGACCACTATAGTGCCAGGAAAACATACTCGTTTTTCTGGCATTTTAGTGCCCTGAGGGTGCCCCCACCCTCAGGGACCCCCTCCCGCCGGGCTCTGGGGAGAGGAAGGGGTTAAAATCTTACTTTTCTCCAGCGCCGGGCGGGGAGCTCTCCTCCTCCTCTCCTCCTCCTCTCCGCCTCTTCTCCTCCTCTTCGGCTGAATGCGTATGCGCGGCAGGAGCTGCACGCGCATTCAGCCAGTGAGCTGCGCGCGCATTCATCCAGTTTCCTATGGATGCTTGCGTCTTCTCACTGTGATTTTCACAGTGAGAAGCACGCAAGCGCCTCTAGCGGCTGTCAAGAGACAGCCACTGGAGTCTGGATTAACCTATTTATAAACATAGCAGTTTCTCTGAAACTGCTATGTTTATAAAAAAATGGGTTAACCATAGCTGGACCTGGCACCCAGACCACTTCATTAAGCTGAAGTGGTCTGCGTGCCTAAAGTGGTCCTTTAAATAACGGAGGTCTTTTAGTGCAACAGCAATGTGTGCTGGTAACTTTTTAAAACATTTTTTTAATTTTTAGATTCAGTCTAATGGATACTGCAATCATTGCTGCTGCCTCGTACTTGTGGGTGTCTAAGTGTAGACTTATTTCTGTGTGTCTATAAATTATCCTGCAAGTAAGCACATGGCTGCCGCCAATGGCAGGCTGTTGACCCAGCAATGTTTGCTATACTTTAGTTATATGTAAGAGATAACTGATCTTCCCATTCAGATAATGATAACCACAAAAAAAAACTAACTAAGCTGCGTCAATAGACTGCGCGTAATCTGAAATATACTTTACACCAACCATTTTCCATAACTTCAAACACTTGTAGTGACCAAAGAATTCATACACCACAAAATGCCCTGAATCATGGCATAACATGGAGCACAAACAATAGCAAAAAACACATGGGCCCATAGACTTCCAAGAGGAATGAAGGATTCTGGGAAACAAAGGCTGGAAAAAGACACAAAGGCTTTAGATTAGGCTCATGTTTTGGCAGGGCCCTATTCACCTACTGATTCCGTATGTCATACGTGTTTTGTTAGCGTTAAATGCTTGTCTTGTTTACCTATTGTACAGCATTGCGGAATATGTTGGCGCTATATCAATAATTGTAATTGTGGGTTGTGAAGCATCTTGACCTTTCAGACAAGGGATACTTGGGATTTATGCCTGTCAATTCAATATTCAAATATTTCAGCAATCATTCCATATTTCTCTTCTGATGAAAAAGCATTGCACTCACTCATATTCTGCGTAAATTAATAACAATGAAAATTGGAAACAGAAGTGTGAAAATTATATTTAGTAAATACATTGTCATTTATCTGATAGACATGGAGTCATTAGAAAAGCAATATGCTAATTGAATTCTTCATGTAAAATAGACACCCTTTACAAAGGTTAAGAGATTATATCAGTTTGAGGGGAAACAAATCCAGTACATACAAAAACAGACTATTTTAAACAATCGATACCTCTGACAGATAGCAGTGCACCAAATTTAGATATTAGATAAGACCGCTGTCAAAAATGATGGAGGGGGTACTCTATTTCAATGCAAATTACATGTCCTTGAAATGATTCGAGAGTTAGTTACTTAACAATAAGGATGTCTGCCCACTTATTTTTACTATTAAAGGAGCTACATTGGACAGTGATAAGGAAGTAAAGGCGATTTTTTATTTTCACATAAAAATGGAGAATTAATGACCGCCAAATTTGTTTAGCCTTTCCTGTCTTTCCTGTTTTTTATACACACACATATTCATACATACACACAAGCACACAAACATGGGCACACACACATGCACGAAAAAAAATTGTTTTTGGATGTCTATTTAAATGGTGATCAAGATTTAAGTCCCAATGCCAGTCAAAGTCCCAATGCCAATCAAAATTTAGTACAGCAATGATTTGAGTGTTATATAAAGATCTGAAAAGCAGTGCAAGTATATAAAAGCATTGCATTTGTCAGCTATATTATCTCTACACAATGTGCCTGCTGGTTTCATTTTATTCTTGTGGGAGTGTCAACCTTTCAGCACTAGTTACTTCATACAAATTTCCCATCTATGTGTTCATCAGTACAGAATGATGATATAGTGGATTTTACAGGAACCCCCTCACTATATCTTCACATACACTTAAATAAATGCTTCAGAAGCAGTTTTGTCATGATAGTGACTCTTGGTGTAGTCTGTATTATCCAGGCCTAGAGGTCTTTATTGTAGGATCTTAAGAACTTGTAAATATAGATTCTCACCTTCTTTGGTGACTGTGCTGGTAAGATTGGTGGTACCATGCATCAAAGAGCTCAAGTGAAGTCAGAAAACTGCTTATTGAAATCAGATAACGGAAAGGGTAATGTTGAGAAATAAGAGAGTGCATGAGAATGAATGACTGATATTACAGCTAATGACTGTATCAGCTCCCAACCATCTCTGCTTTAAATTAATCAGCTGAAACTCATGTGTCTGTACCCATGCTTTTTGGGACTTGAATCCCAATCCACTCTTGTGAGGTGATTACACTCTACAACCCATAACTGGATTATTCTCTCTCTCTCTGTGGCAACAGGAAAGATGACTCACACAATTGATGGGATTATCAGATTAATTTCCTCCATTCCAGATTAGATTCATTTGAGACTCTATTGGGTAGATCTAGAACATATAATTTATCCAGCGATATTTTATAGTATTTTGAGGATTACTATGTTTGTGTAATGGTATGACTAGAACCCAAGAACCTTTTGGTTTTGTTCCTGCCCTTTCCCCATATATCATGGAGGGTTTTAATTTGAACAAGCTGATGAAAGACTTGTTCGTCAACATGGTGTAGGGTATTTCTTCTTCCTCACATCTACAGGGATCCTTTATAGTTTTACTGGTTTATTAAGTCGTGGTTTGGATATTATTAACACAGAGCATTTGGTGTGACTTTCTATTATTTATTCATGTTCCATTCATGTCTAGACATGTCTTACAGTGTTATCTCTAGAGATACTCCAGTCAGTCCTTATTTCTCCTTATTACACCTCCTTATTTTGTTAAATGCCTCATTATGCTATCATTAGTTCTATTTACCATTTTTACCTGAATGTTTTTTGGTTTTTTTTGCTAGCTACCTCATATCTGTACATAGCCTGATCCTGAACAAAACCTAGCCACCTTTCTTATAGTTCTTGTGTTCCAGTATCTTAGTTTCATTTATGTGTTTATTTTATATCACTTAACCAGATAGGACCATGGCTTCATCTCAAGTATCACATCTCTTAGAATCTATTCCAAACTCAGGAGGCAGAGACATGCTCGTTGGAAGGTATTGGCTTTAACTCAGGTTGCAGAAGATCACATCCTGCTACTCCATTCCCTGAAGATAGATTCCTTCCACACCTTGAACCATCCTTTTAATGGACATAAAATGGAGCACCAGAGGCAAGTAGTCTGTAGCCCAGTCCAACTTGGCAACAGGATGTCTGTCCAGGGACATACAGGAGACACAAGACAGGAACCTTAAATGAACAATATCAGGAAAGAGACTCCAGACTGAATGCCCAGACAATGTAATATGGCTTTTTAATTGAAAAGTATTTGTTTGGGCTAATTGTTCAGAGATAATAGCTGGGTATATTGCAGAATCTAAGATAATGGCACCTCTACATAGAACATATCGTCAAGTCTGTGGGACATGAAATGGAGAAGAGAAAACATAGCATTATCACGTTTGTCCTTGTGGAAGACAAGAAGAACAAAAGATCACATGTAGGGCTCTGTTTCTGGCTGTTAACTGGCATTTCTAACCTTTATCTTACACAGCTCCTGACTCCCTGAATTCAACTAAAGCATGTCATCAAAGGGAGACTGCATTCCAGGCTGGTGAGGGCCACTAGAGGTTGTGAAACATACACAATTTTATTACTTGTATATAAATACATTCTGTCTGTCAGAGTTATTTAAATAAATTATTCAGTGCCATTTCAGATCAGAACGTCTACAGCATTTTGTTATAAGGTCTATTTTACAATGATTATCTCAAAAGCATTGTTGATATACCTATAGAAATAATCTACCGCAACTTGAGGCTGTGCTCCAAGACCAGTTTACAGAGGTAGAAAAGTGGATTGCAAAAAACAAACTCTTCCTGAACACTGACAAAACTGTCACAATGATCTTTTGGAACAGTACCTAAATTACACAAATTACACAATTCCCACCTATCCATCAAAACAAATTCAAATGGCACACTGACCGCAGTTCACTCTTTCAAATACTTGGGTATGATATTAGACCCCAATCTATCTTTTGGCCTGCACATAGAAAAGCTTGCATCTTAACTTTATCCAAAACTAGGTGCCCTGTACAGAAACAAATCCTGCCTAAGCCCTACAGTAAAGGAAAAGATTGTACAGCAAATGCTGATGCCAGTAATTGATTATGGGGATGTAGTATATGCATCTGCATCACAATCCCACGTTAATAAACTCAACACATTGTATAACTCGTTCTGCTGATTTGTGCTACAATGTAATTACAGGACTCACCATTGTGACATGCTAAAAGAACTAAACTGGCTGTCGCTGGAATCCAGACGCACCCTTCATCTTTCCAGCCTTGTGTTTAAGAGCTTTTCTGGGAAACTCCCACCCTACCTGAACAAAATGCTTTCCCCAGCTGTTCCCACCTCCTATAACCTCCGATCCAGTACCATCACTTTACTTAGTCTACCTCAATACAAAAAGAAAGCAGCCCGATCCTCCTTCTCCTACATAGCACCGCAATTGTGGAATGACCTCCCGCACAATTTTAAATCTCCCCTAAGCCTAAAGTCCTTTAAGAGATCCCTCTCTACATACCTCAAAACAGAATTCACCTGTCATGGTTGATTATATATTTCCTACCTGTTCTATGTTAAATTTTGTATTTATTGTGTATTGATATTGTTTTTGTATTTTATATACCCTAATGTAACAACGCAATGATTTGTGGACCCAGGACATACTTGAAAACGAGAGAAATCTCAATGTATCTTTCCTGGTAAAATATTTTATAAATAAAATAAAATAAATAAATATCTATTGTTTAAACTTAAAGAGTTACTCTAACCCTTTTTAATCAACTCATTTTTTAATGTAGAATGTCCTATTGTGCATTACTATTAGGTTGTCTATCAACAGTAAGGGGTGGGAGGAAGTGGAGGTGAACAGGGAGATAAATAAATGAACGTTAAGGATATGGGGAGATGGGGATGGTGGTGGGGGGTGAATTTAAATTAGAGAAGGGAGATACATGCATCCCCCTGCACAGAATTGATATTAGGCAGCCCAGGGCAGAGCTTAAATTACGTGTGCCGGGAGTGCAACTAGCCCCGGGCACAAAAGTGAATATATCTCTATATATGCAGCGTTTCAAGCAGAAATTCTGCATATACAGATCCCTTATTCCATGACAACTTCTAAAAGCAGAAGTAGTCATGGTGTTTGGAGTAACCCTTAGTATTAGCAGTTATAATTAAGCATTTAGGCCCACAATTTACATTTGAAGAAAGGCAATTAGTAGCAGGGCCCCAAGGAGCAGGCCCAACACATAGTGCTGATCCGTTTAAGGTAGCTTTCTTACAAAACATTGGGATAAAAGGAGGAGAAAGCCAGAGACCAGAGCCTTTCAGATCTATGTGTACTTATTAAAGCCAAATGTGAAATCATTTTCAATAAATTTGGGAAGATGTTTCAAACTTCTCAGACAAATGTCTTTTGTTTTTGGTCTGTAACCTCTTTGCATTTAACATTTTTATTTTCTAAAAATAGTCTAAAAATAATGTTGGACTTTTTCCTACCTAGATTCCAAAATTCTTTGCAGAAATATGCCTTTTGGAGGCAAATTGAAGCCTCTCTATAAAATCAGAATTTCTGCTAGATTTCTGGTAGTCTCTCTCTCCTTTATCGACCTTCCCTCTCACACCCATAGCATCTCCCACTCTGTCCTTCCCATTGTGTAATTCCCTCTGCTGCCTGATAGTATCTTTCTCACTGCCCCCCCCCCACAATGTTTTATTACTCTTGTTTCCCTTTTATGACTAGTGTGGCTGAGCTGCCATTTCACTGTGCTGTGCATCTCCTGTCCTGTTTGGCCTCCAAACGGTAAGTTCCTCATGGTACTACTGTGAGATCAGGGAGCAGGGAAATAGCACATAATCAAATCTTTGCATAGACGTTTACAGTGATGCTCCATCTTTTCTTAACTTTTGTAAACATCCAGCTATATCATAAATAATAGACGTTTATACTTTGTATTATGATATCTTTGAGTTCCATTGGAATTTCATTGAAATTTTATGAAATGCTCAGAAGTGACAGAGCTGTTATAAGCCATTAACCCATAGGCCGTGAGATGTTGGAAAGATTGAGCGATTCTTTCACTGCAGCCATTTCTCTTTGTTTTCGTAAAGCATTCTTAGTGCTCATTGGCTGCTCCTTGATAGAGGACTTTCTAAAGCCATCTGTCAAGAATCATACTTGACAGCCAATCACCATCAAGAGGCTTTAATGGTTGGTTCAATATGGCTTCTGGGAGAAAATGTAATTGTTTTTCTATTTCTATGGACAGTGTAAATCAGGGAAGGTTTCAGACATCGACCTTGAGCTAACCTCATCCAACTTTTTTCAACTGACGTTAAAATAAAAGCAGTCTTTGGCGGCGAGACCACCATCCACTGCTGCGTCACCAGATTGTAAAAATGTTCTAGAACGGAAATGGTAATCTACTAGAGGCTGGATACGTGTACTCTATACATGCCTCTGTGAATTAAAATAAAATATGTACCTGCTCGCAACAACTAAACATTCTTCTTCAGATCTGACTCCACCTGGGCAAAGAGCATTTAAACATGATCGTGTGTTTAAAGACTTTCAACTGACTCATTGTACCACTGTGTCGAGTACACTGTGAAAGGACAGAGATCACCTTAGCTAATAAAGATTTTTTTTTATTATTGCATATGTTTGGCTGGACTTGTTAATTCTTGTTAAACAGGAAGCAGGTTTTTAGGCAAAGGGTGCATTGAAGTTCATATTCTAGCCTTAAACATTCTTACAAGATGCACAATTGGCATAGACTTACAGGAAACATTTAATTAGATACGGAAGGCACTGGCCTGTACTACGACCTTGTTACATTTCGACTGCAGGACAAAGACGTTTCTGCATGTGACACTTGTGATTTATTTAAGGTTTTAAGGGGAAAGTTTGAAGAAAATAAAGACCTCTGTGCCTGTATACTACTTTTGCTTGAATGGCGAGGGAAGGATAGAAAATAGAAAAGAAAAAAAAATTATATGCACATGAGTAGTGGAGAAGAATTAGACTGACATATTTATGAGTCATGTATCGGTTGTCTGTGCTGATAAGAAACACTTATTATAGGAAGGAAAAGTCACCTTTTTGTGTATATAAAAGATGTAAAATAAATAACATGAAAAGACAAGGTCAGGAAAATGTAAAGTAAACAGTAAGATTATTATCTTTGCAATTATTGCTATTACTGGTACATAAATAATAAAATTTACTCAGTATAGGCCTACTATAAAACATGTCAATGTGTCTTCATTTTAAAGAAAACAGTCACCTTAATACAAATAAAGTATATAAATACAAAGAAATGTTTTGATTAGATGCTGAGTAAAATTGAAGGTTTCTTAGGAAACATGCTAGGTGTTGTGCAAGATGTAGTATTAGAAGGAGGACATGACTACTCATATTAACTGTATTTTATTGTGTTAGTAAACTACAAGGTTTCTTATGTTGCAGATGAAAAAAACGTGAATTGCAAACCATGCTACTAATAAAGTCAACATACAAATTATGTTTTTTTTTTTTCTGAACAAAACAACCCATGGACTTTTCACTGTCTAGCTTTATATAAAAACAAAAAACAAAAAAACAAAAACCCTGCTAATTTCTAACCTTTGCTAAATGGATAAAAAGTGGGAATGCGGATATTGATCATAAAATCTCAGCCACTTGCTGGTGTCTGCAGACATGGCAAAAAAAAGTTATAGACAATGACAATCCTTTAATATGAAATCATAAACATATTTAATTTTAAAAATCAAACACATTCAGTGATTGTTAGTTACTCACATTTTTGCTTAAAATGATTGAAAAATGCAGGTAGTGATAAGGAAGAAAAATTGGTCCTCCGTTAGGGTGTCCCAGGGCATACCCAGCGTTCCACCAGTGCAAGCCTATGATTATTTTTTTTTAAATAACATAACTTTATAATATATAAAATATGAGGCCAATCCTAGTCTGGGGTGTTCTTTAAGGAATTACCACAACGAAAACAAGTACAGAAAGTACAACTACCAAAAGTGAACAAGGATGCTACCACAAACAAACATTCTTCAAAATGTCAAAATAGAAACTATCAATAAACCGAAGGATGCCCACTTACTACATTTGCTTATTGCAGATAATCTTTAATAAGTAGTGAGAACAATATATAGTGGTACATAACACTGAGAAATATATACAGCAAAAAAAAGTTATAAATGTTTCAAAAAAACAAAGTAATTACCAAAAACTTACAGTGAACTTATAAAAGCTGGACACTTGTCTAAGAAACCCCCTAACGTTTCGGCCCAATAACCCTGCCTTTCACGCTATCCCTTGAGAAAGGTACGGTTGTTGTGCCAAAACAATGGCGGGTTCCCTAGGCACATGTTTTTTAAAGCTTTTGTCACTTTTTTTGCTGTATATATTTCTCAGTGTTATGTACCACTATTGATTTTTTGAGTAATAAAGATTATTATCGGCAATAAGCAAACGTAGTAAGTGTGCATTTTTAAACAATTACCAACTCTTGGATCATAGACAGCTGACACCACACCCATCCATTGTGATAAACCATATGACATTGGGAGTGAGTGGAGAGTGAGTGGAGATCACATGGAATCCTTACCATTAAATGTTTTACACAGGCAGGTAGGATGATTAAATTCATTCCACTTGGGTAAGGCTATTGCTTTATTCCCACACATTTATAACACACATAATAACAACATATAATTTTGTGAGGAAATACCTAATAAACCATTAAACATGAGAGAGAGAATGCCTCAGGCCATGAGTGACATGAATATATTGATTATATTGACTATATTATACATAACATCACATGTTTGGGGTAAGGTTACGTAGTCACATGGTATCACTATATATAGAGCCATTGCCGTGTTGTTTGAGTTTTGAAGTCTTTATGTTTTAGGTGTAGCCAAGGCAACAGAAATGAAACTTATTTACATCTCTAATGTTACTTTCATTTTGTCTGACATGTTTTTTTCTGTAGAGTTTGTGCAGTACTTGAGGTATTTCCATTGTTCTGGCAGCCTGTACTGTATGGGTTTGTAATGTGTCAACTACATGAATTGTGATACCTTTATATAGATATAATGGAAGTATTTTACTAGAATTCCTGTATTTCCTATGCTCCCTCAGAAGTGGTCTGGGTGAGATATACATAAATCCTCGTTTTGTTTTCCCCTGTGTTGGTTACTTTTCTCATTTGATTTGTGAACCAAATGACAGATAAATGCTCCTATTATTTGTACTGCTATATATATATTGAACTATGTATCTACTTTGCAGCACACTGATTGCCATGTTTTTGCACCCTTTTGGTCTATCAGATTCAGTTCTTGAATCAATTTCTTGTTACCGAAATTCTGCCAAGCCGAAAGAATATATGGTCGAAAATTCAGGCATTTCAAAAAGTTTTATTTTTTCCAAGAAATATAGTTCAGTCAAGCTGAATTTTCACACCATACACAAGGCCGATATTCAGTTTCTCATAACATCCATATACTTTAGACATTTTCAAACTTATACTGTAGTTGATACTGAACTGATCGAACTAATCTCACCTCTAAATGAGCACCCAAGTTATCTTTAGTAAATTTAGCAAATCAGAGGCACATTGTCTACCAAATTACTCCCTGTGTGAGCTGTATAGTGAGCAGCAGGATTAGAAGACGTCTCACTGTAATATGAAATAATGCAGTTATGACTAAGTTAGACGTCAGGGTCAGGAGACTCTGTGCATTTATGTAGGTGGCTAAAGATTCTGTTAATTTGAAGCACTCAAAGTTTTTTCTGAAATTAAATATGCAAGTCACTCCCTGAGGAGAAAATCATATGTTGGTGTTTACTGGAAGTCCAGAAAGGCACTATATACTTGAGGTTTAAATTTACATAGAATAATTACTCACATGCAAATCAGCTAGACTTATTTAAAGGAAAACTGTCACTAACCAGGATTTTTATTAATAGTTTTATTCATGATTCATACAGAATTATTCATTAAAGTTAGTGAATCTAAAGTGAATTTCAAATTTAAGGCTAAAGTAGCCAAACTGGAAGCATAGCTCACTTAGAGAATCTTTCCAATTCGACTATTTTGGCCTTAAATTTTAAATTCACTTTGAATTCACTTTGAATTCTTAATTTAGTGAATAACTGTGATAACAAATATGTGTTTGAAAAATAAAATTAAATGTAGAAATCAATACCTTGATATTCAGCTCTATGCTGGAACTGAGTGCAGCCATCTTGGCTCTCTGTCAATCATTGTTATAAGTTCTGCCCATTTCTGTCATTGAACATAGTAATCTGGGAGGCAAAACTAAAACAATGGTACTGTTTCTTCTCCTCTGATACATTGTTTGCCCTGGCTGTGACTGAATGGAACCTGGAATGTGATGTCAACTGCTACATTTTCAATATACATTTAATGAAAATGGATCATCATATGAAAAAAAAAGGTTAACACAAGTTACAGATGGGTTTCAATGTTTTATTCAAAGGTCTAATTTCCTGAGAAGTGATTGTTCCCCTTTAAGCATACTTAATATTGTATATGCCATGTATTGAGGGTTAGATTTGGTTCTAGGATATCTTTGGTAGTTGAATAGAAATTTCCCCAGGGATATCAAAGGCAGAACATTTTCTTAAAGGACCACTATTGTGCCAGTAAAACAAACTCGTTTTTCTGGCACTATAGTGCCCTGACGGTGCCCCCACCCTTTTGGCCCCCCTCCCGCCAGGATGAAGGGGGAGGAAGGGGTTAAACACTTACCCTTCTCCAGCTCCGGGCTCCCTCGGCGCTGGGGACTCTCCTCCTCCTTCGGTCGTCATCGGCTGAATGCGCATGCGAGGCAAGAGCCGCACGTGCATTCAGCCAGTCCATAGGAAAGCATTCTCAATGCTTTCCTATGGACGCAAGCATCTTCTCACTATGAAAATCACAGTGAGAAGCGCGGAAGCGCCTTTAGCGGCTGTCAATGAGACAGTCACTAGAGGCTGGATTAACCCATATGTAAACATAGCAGTTTGTCTGAAACTGCTATGTTTACAGCAGGCAGGGTTAATCCTAGATGGACCTAGCACCCAGATCACTTCATTAAGCTGAAGTGGTCTGGGTGCCTATAGTGGTCCTTTAACTGTTTTTAGTTTATCTATTGTAATAGAGTCTGAAATAAAATTAAACAACAAATATGGAGTTGACACCTGACTTAAGAAAAATTACCCAAATCTCCAACTTTGCTCGGGACTCAGGTAGAGATTTTTTTTTTTAGTTCGACTGTTTTGTGCACACAATTTTAGCGAATAAGCTCCACGCAGTTGAGAAATCTTTGATGCTTTATACCCATTGAAGCACTTGTAGTCTTATGAGCTCCTCAGCAGTGTAGTAGTGATCAGCTGAATAGTTAGCAATCGCTCTTTGAAGTCAAAATCTTCAGAGACAGAATTACAACACAAACATTCCACTCCCCTTTACTCAAACATCAATATGTGTGTAACGCCTTGGAGTCAGAGGTGCTTCTTGGGCTAGAGAAACAGTCCTCCCCACGAACAGGTGACTACTTAAAATATTCCATTCCAATATATCTTAGAAATCAAAGGAAGGCACAGAATTACTATAAATTTAATACCAAGTGGCCAACGTGCAGGAAAACATCTAAACTGTTTTAGCCCTTAAAACGGGTGTCTGATCACTGCATTCAAACAACAACGTGAAGTAGTGAAAGAGTTAATAGAATAGCAGGGTGGTTGGGAAGGTAACTGCATTGCCTATATTTGCATTAGAAATGTGTTCATTTCTGTTACCTTAAAAAAATCCATTGTTTCCACTGGGTATTTGTGTGTCCTGCTCAGTAATTCAGTTACCACATTGTAAACATTTGTAGCCAGGTAAAATAATTGGTACTAAACAAAGGTGGAATGCAAGCATGACAAAGGGACTTCACACTGTAATCTTCTAACTTGACAAAGGAAAATGAAAGGTGCACAAATATTCCTTTAGGGGTGAACTGTGTAGACCGGAACAGAGTACAATAAGACGTGAATTTAATAAGATTAATAATTTCAAGGCATTGGTAACATATGACCGAGATTGCCAGATAGTTGTGTTTTTATTATTGTTATCATTGCTGTTATAGATTGAAAACCCAGCAGAATATAGCGCTCATGAGATGCCCACATGAAACAGATCAATGAATGACACCGTTTATTCGGAAGACGTGTGAATTGTCACTGGATTCATATTTTAGCCCTGAATAGCTGACTTGCAGAATTTTTTTCAGTTTAGCTATAGTCACCTAAAATTTTAGTTACGTGAATTTCTCAACAATCCTCAATTTAGTAAATAACTCTGTGCGTTAAATATTGCTCAGATCCTCAAATCCATGGTAAATACAAGTCGTTTGATTTCCCAATCCCAGGGTAGCCTTTTATTTGCACTGACTGACTCTTTGAAGCCCACTGACTCAACCATTTCATATTTTTTTTTTTCACGGATTGAAACGTCAACACTTGGCAGGTTATCAACTCATAAACAGGACTCAACCAACAATATATGGTCACAACTAAATAACCATGGAACAGAAATTTCAACATGAACGTTAACCTGCAATACATGTGCCCTTATCATATTTTTGACTGTAACAGAAATGACAAATTTTGAATGTTACCTTAGAGTTAATGTAAAAAAGGGACTGTTATAAGGGACAGCACAAATATATATATGTTGCTGATTAATATATATGTGCAGGACAGACTACAGTACACTGCAAGGGCTCCTTGACGAAAGCTTGGGATTCAGTTAAATTTCTCGCAAATCTTTTATTACTTGGGCCTTCTTACCCTCTTTTAACCCTGGGGACATTGTCTACTTGCCATGCACAGTTCAATGTTATCATTACAGGTTTCACTTGGACCTTGCAACTGGGGCCTACTTGCCAACACAAGGCCGGGGACGTGGCCGATTCCCCGCTCTCCATCAGATCTTTTCACTGTTACCTCTATCCCCTCCTCTAGACTGTTATCTACTATCCCTTCTGCTATGTGGACATAACTGGATGCAGATCTGCAAGCTGAGCTACCTAAGAAGGCAGCTATTCATGCTTCACTACAGTCATAAGCAGTAGAGACGCAGTCGAGGAGGTAAGAGGTGTTTCTGTTGGTACAAAACAAGATATGTGCTCATTTTTGGAGGAAACTGGAGGAAAGGGCACTACAGCTCACCTTACCTGACACCAAGCCAGCTCTCAACGTTGCTTTTGCCCTACATCTCCTTCCCATTCAAGGGGTTAAGGGGGGGTACTCCTCAACGCAGTCCATAATCTGGAGGCTCTGATGAAGGGTCTGTCCAGCACTTTGCCCTGCGCACATGGCGCAGAGGGGTAATTACACATGGCCTATGGGCTCCTGAATATGCTTGGGTCTGGGAATGTGGGAGCTGGGGATACAAATGTGACAGTTTTACTTGTTTTCGCAGAGTCAGACAAGTTTTTAGCTGCCCGCAACACACTTCCTTTCTTTAGCTTTAGGGTGAGATATCGCTATGTATTGCCCAATGCTTAGGTATTACACTCAGACAGCAACTTTTCAGTTGTCATAATGTTTTGAGCATTTACTCTATTCTTTTGTTTACCATATGCTTTATTTGCCACCTATTGGTAAGCTCATGCTTGTACAGGGGTTGCTACAGCCGATATCAATGTTTTGTCTATCGGCTGTACCTGAATCTTCGTCAAGGCCAAAAGCAGCATAGCTTTATTACTTAGATTTAATATTTATGTCACAACTGTAGCTTAGGCCTAGTCTACACATTATTGAAAACAGAGATTTTAACATTTTATATAAAAGAGGTCAGCATAACCTGACAGTGCATGCTCTTGTTAAGTCACGACGTAAGTTGCAAGCTATCTCATTTTATTTTCTTGCATTATGTATGTATGTATTGATATGTCACTGTCCTAACATTGATGTCTGTTACACAAATGCCTCAATAAAACTGTGATTGACAAAAAAAAAAAAGGTCTTGAGAAAGCATCTGAGCGTGAAAGCTGTCTAGCTGTTTTCTTGTTTTTTTTTCCAGTTTTTTTCCCTTCTTTAAAATGTTGTGGTAAATATTTTTGTATATTTATTATCCACATGCATGGGTCTTTCTTTATTTTTGCTTTGTATTTACATATCTTCATTAAAGATCACTTTTTTTGGCTTTAGAACCTATTTCGAATGTAGAAATGAGCACTTTCTGTTAAAGGGACACTCTAGTCACCCAGACCACTTCAGCTCAATGAAGTGGTCTGCGTGCCAGGTCCCTCAGGTTTTAACCCTTCAGATGCCGTGGGCGTGTTTCCTGTAAGGTGGTGCTTTTCGGTAGGGTGTGAGGCTGTACCCCGCGTGGATGCTTCGTGGTGCTTTGCCATGTCGCTGAGCGGTGAGTGGGTCTTGTGGGTTTAGTGGTCTCAATCTGATGTGTGTGAGGCCGAGTGCCAGCGTCTGAAGGGCATGTTGCTATTTCCCGCCACTTCGTTCCCCGATTCTGTTTCTGACTGGAGATCGCTTTGGGGGTAATGTTTGCCTTTCAAACCCTCACAGGGGAAAGCTATATTGGTAGAATACATGTCTGTATTGTTAATGCTATTGTGTTCAAATATTTGTAATGATAGCTTGCATTTTTTGTCAAAAGCCATATTGTCAGGAGGAGGGATGCTTGCAGAAAGCAACAATTTTTATTTTAAATATTTTTTAAAGATAAAAAATATACAGTACGATTTTAGGGCCAAATGCAAATACATTTGTGGAAGAACCCAGGGTGTCCCTTTAAATGGTACTAAACCAGTGTAAAAACTGTGACAAAACCAGATTAGGATATCATGTAGGTCCTGATATGTCACTGAACCTGAAGTAGTTCATCTCTAATGAAAAATATATATTTTTTAAAGTGATAGATCCCCTTGAATGTGGGAAATTGAAAACCAGATTGGGGACATTACCCAAACACAGCAACAGTCGCAGCTATTTTATTCAGAATTTTCCAAATTTACTTTTCTGGTCTTTAGTTTGCAATTCACTTTTCAATTCACTACTATTCCCTATAAAGATTGTAAGATGCTTTTAGCAGAACCCTTTTCGCGTCTTTAAATGTCAATATTATTTTGTCTGTCAATTACTTGCTGTTATTTATCTACATTAGATAATTATAAAGCACCATGGAAGTTGGTTGGCAATATAAAAATGCTAATAAAATAGTGCATAAATCTCATTTTTCATTAAATTGGAAATTCTGAAGCACTGAGGATTTTTACTCCAAAACAGTTAAACATTTAAAACAGGTAAGCTGGATAATGCTTCCAATTCTGATAATTTTGCAAGAATTTGCAAATTGTCTACAATTCCAGTTTGTTATATATAATATATTTACAATTTGCAATCTCCTGTTGCTACACCAAATTAGCTGCTATTTTGGATAACATTTTTTTAAAGTCGTTTGCTAACTTTCCACAAGTCACTGGGGTTACTAAACACGAAATTGTAGCGAATGAAAATCCAAAAGCAAATTTCAGGTCAAAACTCCTGATCTGCACAATATCCAGCCTAGGCAATTTAAGATTTTTGGATGCATTTCATTTTTTGTATACACTTTTAAAATATATATATTTTTCAAATATTAAAAAATATACATAGGAAAATATTTGAAGGTATAAAATATATTAAAGTACAAACAAATATATACAGTCACAGCTTGACTATTTCAGCTATGATTTTGATGTTTTATTTTAAATTCGCTACAAATCAGTATGTAATGCATAAACCCCATTGGGTTGATGAATCCGTCTGTGAGAATGTCATACGAAAAACAAAAACAGAACCTGAAATTTGGAAATAACATGCCCAAACCATGGGGCTAACCTCTGTGTAGTTACATCATTATAGGGTACAATGATTTCCACTCATAGATTTCCCGGAGTGTACAATATGGCTTGAAATCAATGCACATTAAAAAAAAAGTATTTTTCAGGAAGTACCTGAAATAACATTGGCCAGAAACGCTTGTTCTTTCCCTCTGCATTTATAGATATTTCCTGAGGTAAGCAGCGGTGTCCCTATCTACTTCATTAAAATAATAGATTGCAGCATTAGGATAAGGTCACTTGTAACATATCAGTGCTTACATTGGCTCCTATAAATCTCAACACTAGAACATATGAATGATTCACAGTCATTTTAATGGTCTTCCAAATTCCATGAGCAAGCAGTAGCCATTTGGAGCCAGGTTATCTGACATTTTCTTATTCTTCATATTTAATAGACGGAATGTTTCCTACCTCAGCTTAAAAATGCTGTTGGACTAAACTCCCAGGATTCCCTGCCAGATAACAGCTAATGGCTGACAGAGAGAATTATAGGAATTTTAGCCCAACCAGCCTTAGGACCTAAAGCTGGATATCTCTTATTTGTATGTGTTTTTGGAAGAAATAAATACAGTATGCAGAATAATGGGGTATTAATAACAACAACATCTTATTGCATCAGCTATTTTAAAGGGTCACTATAGACACCAACACAACTTGAGCTTAATGAAGCAGTGTTGGTGTAAAGATCATTTCAGTGCAGTCTCACTACTCAATTCTCTGCCATTTAGGAGTTAAATCACTTTGTTTATACAGCCCTAGTCGCACCTCCCTGCATGTGACTTACACAACTTTCTTAAACACTTCCTGTAAAGTGAGATATAATGTTTACACTTCCTTTATTGCAAATTCTGTTTAATTTACAATGTCTTATCTCCTGCACTGTTAATGGCAGTCTAAAACTTGCAGGAGCCGCATGTGTGTGATTAAAGTTCAATTTACAGAGCAGGAAATAAAAACTTCTGAAGTAAGTTAACATCTGATTGAAAAATATATATATTTTTTATAGAGGCTGTGTCAGTCACAGCCAGTGGAGGTGTGGTTAGGGTTGTATAAACAGAAACAAACATGTTTTAACTCCTAAATGGCAGAGAACTGAGCAGCGAGACTGCAGAGGCATTGTCTATACACCAACACTGCTTCATTAAGGTAAAGTTGGTTTGGTGACTATAGTGTCCCTTTAATGTGGAGTCATGCACAGCCAGAGCAGGATTAACCATAAGGAGACACTAGGGCCCTGGAGTTAGACACTGAAGCCCAGGAACTTGCTTGGCCCCATTAACCATCCCTATGTAAAGAATAAAGAACGGGGCTCAACTAGTAACTTGCCTAGGTCCTAGTGCAGTGATTGCTAACCTTGACAAAATAAATTGTTTCTGGATTACATTTCCCATGATGTTCAGCTAGCTTTTAGACTCTTCGATAGGTAAAAGGACAATTACTTAAACCGGACTTTAGAATGGCGTGACTGAAGGTAAGAATAAAGAGAATAGTCAAAACAGGCTAAACTCAAAGGGAACCAGAAAACAGCAAATACGAAATATCAGAGTCAAGTCAAGGGAACCAGAAATCAGAATAGTCATGGAAGAAGCCGAGTCAAAACCAGATAAACACTAAACCAGATACAAATGCACTCTTGGGACACTAGCAAGCTAGGAACCACAACATAGAAAGTAAAATAGGTCGGAGAGGATGAATAGCATCCCATAATGAACTGCACAGCATTTAGCTGTTCTCAACAAGAGCTTTGGCCAGTGATGTTTAACTTCTGGCTAAGCATCATAGGAAATGTAGTTCACAGACATTTTGGGAACAAATCTTAGGCAAATTCTTTGACATCATGACTGTCCATATATCAACTGGTTAATGGTTACCATTTGCTTTGATTTTGTTATAGCTATTCTAGAAAACTGCATTTTGCCACATTAATGTAAACAATAAAACTCATAACGACATCTGGAAATATTGCACATTTTTTTATGATGCCTTTGTTTTTTACACTCACCATAACCACATATATCATCCGCTTTACAGAAAGCAGTGGGTGAGAGCAGTTATTGAAAACCTAAAACTGTGAGCATGTTTATATTTTGTGATTTTTCCAGCAGTGTCCTTGAAACACTCCCCCTTAGCATCCTACGAGCTGACCTCACGGAGCTGGTATTCAGCACAAATGCCTTCCTTATCTTGACACACTGGTTGGCATCTGCTTTGGTCAAAGAGACAGAAAGACATTTTACAAATTGCAACATACGCAGCAGCATTTTTATTGTATATACAATTTTTATTTGTTTTCAGTGCAGATTACAACTGGTGTCAGTGTGTATTGACTGAATATTGTATCCCAGACATTTCTCTCTAATTTTAGGGAATATATCGCTATGGAATATCAAAATTGGACAAATTCTCCAACCTAGGTAATTTTTACAAAGAACTCTGGAATTCTTTATTATGTGTTCTTTTCATGTTTTGATTACTGAGACTCTTCTGAAATTTAAACATATTGATAATTAAAATTACAGCAAAACTTAACTTTATTCCTGCACAGGGACAAGTTTCCAGCCAATACCTTGGAGTCCAATCTAATCAGATACTTATCATAAAGAAGCACTGAATCCAATGCTTCTCTTATACATTGTGTTGGAACAGTGATCAGCAAACTGTCACACGCACGGCACTTGAGGTTGCCAACCCAAATGGGCCAGGTGGGGAGATTAGAGAATTATCCCAGCCGACCCAGAGTGCCCCAGCAATCGGAGTGCAAGGTAGTCTTTGGTCTCCACTCCCAGTGGGTGCTGATACCACAGGGCAACACTCAGACTCACAGGGTCTGCAAGTTCCCCCACTGAACCACCAATAATTAATAAGGATTCCTTATGTTTCTAACAGGTGTATTTTAGTAAAGAGCACTTCCCCCAACACCCCTGCAATCACCCCCCCCCACACACAATACACACACAAAACTAAAGACAGCCCCCACACACAATACACCACAGACAGCATCTACCACACACCCAATACAACAAACAACCCACATACACATACTTAATATCACAAACAGCCCACATATATGCACAATACCTTCAATTGACCACATACACAACAGCACAGATAGCACCCCTCACTATATACACAATTACTTCACACAACACACATACACAGCACACACAAAACCCTGAACATCACACAACAGACAGGCCACAACACATTACCCCAGGCAGCACACACCACAAACATAAATATTAGAAGCAATCCACATGCAAACATTTAGCATCACAGACAGCACACACACACAAAATCCCAGTCAGGACACACACACACATTAGCACAAACAGCTCAAATACACATGCAACAACACAGAGAGGACCCACTACACACAAATATTATAAACAACTTTTATACATGCATATATCAGAGACAGCACACGCACAAAACATATACTTAACACATTGGTTAACCCACACACACAAACACAAATACTACAAACAGTCCACATACAAGGACATAATACCACAGACAGCTGCACACTCATAAACACCACAAACAGGACGCACACAAATAATATGACAGACCAAAAGCATTTGCTACACTCATACATAACACAACACAACTGCTGCTGCAGCAGTAGACAGAGCATTACCAGTTGCAGGCAAGTTAGGTTAAGCAGGGGTTGGTCACATAACAACAGAGTATGACCCAATATGGCTGTTCAGCCAGATAAAAAAAGTTGAAATTTTCTAAAACAACAACAAAAAAAATACATAATTTAAAAACATATCATTAGGTTTAATTTTATTTATTAAATGTAATAAACTTTGAATAAAAAAGAAGTGAAAATTTGATGACATCTATATCAAATTTTAAACACTGTGGCACCATATCTTTGACTGAATTCAGAGTATTACATGAACCTATGTTTATCACACCCAGGGGCGGACTGACCACATCGGCAATTTGTTCATGAGGGCCCATGACAGTCAGGAGCCTGGAAAAAGCAACAGTTATAGGCCAAATCGGGAGATGATGGGATCAATAAATGGGGAGACACAGGGAGGGGCAAAGGGGTAAGGATTGAGGGTGAAAATGTGGGGGATGGGATACAGACAAAAGTGCTTTTGAAGAGACTAGTGCGTAGGGACAATACACTCCTGTACACACATACTGCTCAAATAAAACACATGCATACACAGTAATGTCCAGTGAAGTATACTTTTACATACACATACAAACACACACACACACATGCATGCCTTACAAATACATTCTTGTACTCACTCATGCGGTCCATACAAATATTCACAAACACTGCATATGCACACATGAATATTACACACAAATTTACATTTGAATTCACACATATCTGTAAATACATTCCTGCATTACAAATACATTGACACTGCAAAAATACACTCCATATAAAAGGATTGTTGTATTCCAACAATGTACACAGTGTCGGCGTTTCCTAGAGGCGACTTAGGCAGTCGCAGTCGCCTAGGGTGCACCAGCCTGGGGGTGCAAGGTTTGAGTGACCCGCCATGTGAGGGAGAGGTAGAACCACTAATAGGAGGGGATAGGTAGGACCACTAAAGGGGGGGAGGAGGAGGAGAGAGAGGACCACTAAGGAGTTGGGGGAGAGGTAGGACCACTAAAGGGGGATGGGGAAAAGAACACTAAGGGGGGGAGAGGTAGGACCACTAAGAGTGGGGGGAGGCAAGACCACTGGGAGAGGGAGGAGAGAGAGAGGACCACTAAGGTGGTGAGGAGAGAGAGGACCACTAAGGGGTGGGTGGAGAGTAGAGGAACACTGTGGGGGGGGAGACTACTAAGAGACAGGAAGGGGAGAGGAACACTAAGGGAGGGGAGGGGAGGAAAGACCACTAGGGGACAGGGGAGATCACTAAGGGACAGGAGGGGGAGAGCACTAATAAACTGGAGGGGACAGAATATCACTAAGGGACAGGGGGGCAAGGGAAAGTACTAAGGGACCTGGGGGGAGGGGAGAGCACTGATGGAAAGGAGAGGAGGAAAGATCACTAAGGGATAGGAGGGGAGACGACCAAGGGACAGGAGGGGAGGGGAGAACACTAAGGGACAGGAGGGGAGACCTCTAAGAGACAGGAGGGGAGACCTCTAAGAGACAGGGGGAGAAGAGGAGACCACTAAGGGACAGGGGGAGGAGAGGAGATGAGACCACTAAGGGAAGGGGTGTGTGAAAGAGATAATTAAGGGATGGGGGGAGTGTGAGACAAACAGAGAGGCTGAGGAAGGGGTGAAAGAGAAGCACAGAGCGGCTGGTAGGTGAGACAGAGACCCGCAAAGGGGCTCAGGAGAGAGACACTTGTCAGGGAGACACACAGAGGAACATGTGGGAAGGAGACACACAAAGGAGCCGGGAAGAGTAAGACACAAATGGACTTGGGGGAATAAGCCACGCAAAGGGGTTGGGAGGATGTAGGAGACATGCAAAGAGGGGAGGGGGTAAGAGACACACAAGGGGCTTGTAAGAGATAAACTAAAGGGGGGTGAAAGACGCAAAACTTAAAAAAAAAATTATACAAAAAAGTATATTAACAAAATAAATATAATAATAAAAATAAAGAGGTGCTCCCCTCTCAGCCCCTATCCTACCCCACAAACCCTCTCTTTCACACTACACACATACACAATGCATCCTTACAGAAACTCACAATGCATCTCTACACACACACACACACATGTACAGAAACATACAATGCATCCCTACTCACACAGAAACACACACTTGCTTTGCTTACACAGAGACACACAATGCATCCATTACACACAATGCATACCTCACACACACAAAATGCATCCTTTATACACACTGCATCCCTTACATACAAAAACACACAATGCATCCCTTACGCACACACACTGGGATTTAGTAAAGGGAGGGACTGGGATTTAGTAGAGGGGGGTGCTGTGGTTTAGTAAAGGGGGATGCTGGGGGTTTTCAGCTGTACTTTTCAAAATAAACCTACGTTTCTATGAAAATGTAAGTATTTGTTTTTTTTGCGGCCCACATAAACGTAAACCTTGTTTATTTGGCCCTTGCTAGACTTTGAGTTTGACATGCTTGGTGTAGGGGATCTAGTGTGTGTTTGAAAGACCCAGACTGTGTATAGGAGATCTAGGGAGTGTGTGTAGAGGATTCCGAGTGTATACAGGGATCTAGTGTGTGTATATGTGTAGATGATCCAGAGTTGGGTAAGGGATCTAATGTGTGTCTGAAATGTAATGTGTATAGGGGTGCAGTATGTGTGTAATGGGTTCTGTAGTATATATACATATATGTTTGGAAGTAGTGTGTGTCTGTGTGTGTGTGTGTGTGTGTGTGTGTGGTGCAGTGTGTTTGGGGACTGCTGTGTGCATGTGTGAGGTGTGCTGTATGTGTGTGAAGGGTGTAGTGTGTGTGTGAGGGGTGCAGTGTGTGTGTATGTGAGAGGATGCTGTGTGTGTGTGCTGTGTGTTTGTGGATGCAGTATGTGTGTGTGAGGATGCTGTGTGTGTTTTTGTGTGTGTACTGTGTGTGTGAAGGTGCGGTGTGTGAGGTGTGCAGTGTGTGTGAGGGTGCTGTGTGAGTTGTGCAGTGTGTGTGTGAGGGTGCTGTGTGTGAGGTGTGCAGTGTGTGTGTGAGGTGTGCAGTGTTTGTGTGAGGGTGCTGTGTGTGAGTGAGTGATCATGCTGTGTGTGTGTGTGGGTGTTGTGTGTGAGGTGTGCAGTGTGTGTGTGTGTGTGTGTGTGAGTGAGGGTCCTGTGTGAAGGTGATGTGTGTGTGTGTTTGTGTGTGAGGGTGCTGTGTGTGAGGGTGTTGTATGTGTGAGGGAAGGTGCTGTGTGTGTTACTTTGTGTGAGGGTGCTGTGTGTGTGTGTGTGTGTGTGTGAGAGGATGCTGTGTGTGTGTGTGTGTGTGTGTGCTGTGTATGTTTGGAGGGATTGTGTGTTGGGAAGATAATAAAAAACAAACAAAAAAAACAGGGATTGTATTCCCCCTCCCTTCTTACCTTTTGCCTGGGAGGGGGGACCGTGTCCCTGGTGGTCCTAGTGATGAGTGAACTCTAGCCTGTGAGGCTACAGTCCACTCTCGTGAAAACTGGAGCATTGCCATGGTAATGCTCTGGATCTCGTGAGAAGAACCCAGCAGAGCTGCGAGATATAGCTCCTCCTCTCCTGTCTCCCTCCCCAGCAGGCAGCTGCATCACACTGCATATGGGCTGGTGAGGGAGATCTTTGAACTCCCCACCGGCCCGTCATGGAATACAGTGGGGCCGGCACTTGAATAGTGCGAGCCCTGCATGGACTGGCCGGGGAGATTCTGTGACCATCCCTGTCGGCCAATGGCCAGTCCTGGCCTGCTACTCACACAAATACAACCTTGGATTTCCAACTTACCACAATGAACTCTTCAGTGAATAAACCCACATGTATTTTGACGTGTATATATTGGACTTTAGAGAGGGTCAGGGTCTAGATTTGCCCAGGGGCCCAGGCTGTTGCCATACCTGCTGAATTAACCCCAAATCCTGCACCCACAGCAATACCCCCACACTATGCTGTATCATTTAATTTCAAATATGGTGCATTAAAGTGGCACTGTGACAAATTATGTAATCAGAGATGTTATTTCTCTCTCCATATTACAGGAGTCTTGGGGCTATCAATTAAATGACAAAATTAGACCTGGGGCCCTCAACCAGGGCTCAAACTTGTACCACATAGAGGATAGCCAGTGCCCCAGGAACACAGGCACTCAGCCTGAACACTAGAGAAGAAAAAGGCTACAATTAGCAGAGGACTCCTATAGGTAAAGGTAAGACCACATAAACTAAATTTTCAAAAGGCAAAATTATTTTATTAAAATAAAACAAAGCACAGCATGAAAACAAAAAGAAAAAAGAGAGAGAAAAAAATGAAAAAACTTGGAAATGCATTACGTGTTTCATGCCACGTAGGACACTTAGCCATAGACTGTTGATATCGATAGCTGCCAGTTCTATTTACTGCAGGGCCAGTAGATCCTATATCACTCACAGGCTGCATGAAGCACAGCGGATCACTGTGTTAGTATAACCTCTTATTATATTTATTGCTGACCTTCTATAAGGATTGAAAGTGGTTTAGAACTGCAGCAATTCCTACAAATTGCTGCAGCTCTAACACACATCTCCCAAACTGTTATCCAGTTTTTTCTTGTGGCACTAACAACATTGACTGAGCCCAGCCTGTAGCTACAGACAGACACACTAAACAGGGCTATA